GCACAAGTGGTCATTGGTGGAGTTGTCGTAGTGAGAGTTGTTGTTGTAGTGGGTAGCTGGGTAGTAGTAGGCAAAGGAGTTGTGGTTACTATGGCAATTGTGGGAGAGGTAACTGTTGTTGTGATGGTGGGAGATGTTTCTCTGGTGGTACTGCTGGTGGTGGTTTTCATGGTTGAGGTGGGTGGTCTGGTCGTGGTTATCACTTCTGGTGTCGTTGTTACAATGAGCCTTGTGGTTGAAACTGGGATGGTTGAGCTAGAAGTGGCAGTTGATGTTGTTTCTGTGGGAGTGGTCAAACATTCATTGTTGCAACAATAGACTTTAATTTGATAGTTAAAACATATTTGCAGCATTCCCAACTGATCTTCATTTTTGCAAACAAATCCAAAGGATACATTGCATTGGACGTTTTGGCCAATTTCATCAATAGTTTTATTAGGGAATTTCTCAGCTCTGCATTCTATATGTTCTGGGTTTTCACAGATATCTTTTCCTGTGGCTTTAATAATGTCATATGTTTCAAAATCTCCTTCATTATCCAGTGTAGGAAAATGCACATCATACCATTCTGTCCATTTGCAAATAGGCATGCAAGTTGTTTTTGTTGTTGAATATCCAGTTTTCATGGTAGATGGGACCATAGTGCTAGTAGGTAAAAAAGTAGTTTCTGGTGTTGTTGTTAAGATGCTAGTGGTTCCTTTAATTGTATTTGTGAAAGCAGTGGTACTTGTCAAAATAGTAGCTGGTACTGTAGTTGTTTGAACTGGAGAGACTGTGGTAGTTTCAGGTGTGGAAGCTGTTGTATAATTGTCACATGGTACAAAGCTACAGCATAGTATTTTGATTTGATAATTGTGGCAGATTTCTGGATGCTGGTCCATATTATTACAAATTAATCCAACTGTTTTGCTGCATTCTACCTTCTGGCCCAGTGTAGTTAATGGAGTATTGGGGAATTTCTCTGCTCTACATTCAACAGCTTTTGGAGTTTTGCAGACTCGGTAGCCTTTGGCCCTTAGATTGTCAAAAGTTTCGAAATCTCCATCATTGTTTCCTGAGCCAGGCTGCATCCCATCATACCATGCTGACCAATGACACACTTCATGAACACAGACAGATGTAGTCATGGGCACTGCAACGATATTAGAAGGATAAATTAATATGTTTCATCTGATTCCAATGAATATTTTCTAACAATTGTGAGCATGCAAATAATACCCTGAAACAACTGTGTCTCAGAACAGTTTTTAAAGGTATGAGCAGAGGTGGGATTCTACTGGATCGGCTCAGTTCTGTAGAACCGGTTGTTACCATTCCCAGTAGTTCAGAGAACCGGTAAATCGGGCCTCTGCCTGGCCCCACCCCTCTCTGCCTACTTCTCCGCTGCCTGCCCATCAGTCCATATCACGCATGCATGACATTGCATGCATGTGCAACACTGCTGCCTGCAACCTACTCTTGCACACCTGCCAGGCCAGTCATTGCTGCCTGCCTTCCGCTGCGGCCCTGCCTTTACTGATCTCCCTGGGTGAGTGAGGCTCTGCAATCCCCAGTTGCCTTCCCCCCGACTTGCCTTTTGCCACTGCCACCAGTTGCCTTCCCCCACCACTTTCCTTCCACCAGGTCAGTGGCTGCTTCTCTCACCTGCTGCTGCACAGCAGAAAGCTTCCAAGTCTCCCCTCCCATTCGAAACGGCTCCCGGGCAAGCAGAGAAGCAAACCAGATTGAATTCTGCTACTCTCTACTTGCCTGGGAGCCGTTTCCAATGGGTGGGGATTCAGAAGCTTTCTGCTCTTTTAGGAAACTCTTGCTCTCCCCAAAACAGCAGCAGGTGATAGAAGCAGCCGCTAACTTGGCTGGAGCCTACATGAGCCTCTCCATGTGTTGTTTCCTGCTGCTGTTGATGGGAGGCAAGAGTTTCCCAGCACAGCGGAAAGCTTCCAAGTCCCCCCTCCCATTAGAAATGGCTCCTGGGCAAGTAGAGAAGCAAGCCAGGTTGAATCCTGCTTCTTTCTGCTTGCCTGGGAGCCATTTCTGATGGGGGGATTCAGAAGCTTTCCGCTGTTTTGGGAAACTCTTGCTCTCCCAAAAACAGCAGCAGGCGATAGAAGCAGCTGCTAACCTGGCTAGAGCCTCCACGAGCCTCCACGTATTCCTTTCTGCTGCTGTTGATGGGAGACAAGAGTTTCTCAACACAGCGGAAAGCTTCCAAGTCCCCCCTTCCATTAGAAATGGCTCCTGGGCAAGCAGAGAAGCAAGCCAGGTTGAATCCTGCTTCTCTCTGCTTACCTGGGAGCTGTTTCCAATGGGGGGATTTGGAAGCTTTCCGCTGTTTTGGAAAACTCTTGCTCTCCCAAAAACAGCAGCAGGAAAGAATATGTGGAGAGGCTCGTGTCAGCAAGGCGCCCCTTGATCGAGTCCAGGACAGCTGACAGTGGCTGTGCAGAGCAGAGCCTGGAAGCCCTGATGCACCACATGTGTGGCTGCATGGATGGCGGGGGGGGGGGATGGACTGGTCCCGAAAGCCCCGATGCCACTGGAATCACCATTGCCACCTCGTTGCTGCTGCATCCCCCACCCCCTGCAGGTATGGTGTGCGTGAGCCCCGGGAAGGGTGACCGACAGACTCAACTGCTGCTCCCACTGACTGTTTTCCATGCCAAGAGTGGAGGCGAGAGAGAGAGAGCAGCTCTCTTGGTACAGAGAAAAGTCACGCGTCTTCCCATATTCCTCTCGCCATGAGCAGCACCTTTAAACTTTGCGTGCTTCACAAATGAGGAGGAGGGGATGAGGCTGCTCGCAAAGAAAGGAATATGGGGAGACGCACAACTTTTCTCCATGCTGAGCTGCTCTTGCCAGTGGCTCCAGACTGTTTTGCCCAGCTAAGACTAGATCAGGGGTCCCCAAACTTCCTGGCTTGAGAATTCTGGGAGTTGAAGTCCACAAGTCTTAAAGTTGCCAAGTTTGGGGACCTCTAGACTAAATTATCAAGGAAGAGAGTAACATGCAGCAGATGCCTAGCAAAATTTAGTAGTATTGCAGATTGGCTGTTTACATTGAAATCAGGTGCAAGATAGTGATGGCAGGTAAATTATTGGACAGCTTAGTTTGGTATTTATTTCAGTAGGCTGATTTTAGAAAGCTAAACAGGATCAGACTCGGTAAGCACTTGGCTGGGAAGCCAACAACAAATAGGGTGTGGGAGGAATAGGGTTGGGAAGGAAAGAAGGAAGATAGGATAAGGTAACTTTTATTGTCGTTTTTTTACTGTAAGTACACTGGCACACATTAAAAGTGAAATATATATACCACCATACACATATATAACACGCATATACACACGCTATATGCACACACATAAAATCATTGCCCCTTTTGAATTCATAGTAGAAAGGAAGAAAGAATATTGGATACATATATACAAATGTGTGTGAAAAAAACTGCAAAGAAATAGGATTATAAAAAAACAGCTTCCAATCTTAGTTGTAGATGAGAGAAAGAGAAATGAGAAACAGAGAGAGGGAGAAAGAGAGATGGGGAAGAAAGAGAAAGAGATGAGAGAGAGAGAGAGAGAGATGAGAAAGAGGGAGAAAGAAAGACAGAGGCAGAGATACCTGCTTAAAAGAAAATAGAAAAATGGCTCTTAAAGTGTTTAAGGTTGCAGATCCTTGGGTTAGGCAAACACCATGGTCATTAAGTGAACCTTGTGGTCATTAAGCAAACACTGATTGTTAAACAAGTCCATTTTCCCCAATGGGCATTTTTAACTGGAAACCAGAATGAATTGTTGGAAACTGGCAAAAAACATAGAAAACCTCAGTCACAAGACTGTGTGGGATGTTGTAACTGGTCATAAGTGTGTGTGTGTATGTATGGCTGTCAAAACACCAAAAACAGGTCAAGTAGCTCTGGGGAGGTCAGTCATAAATTAAGCACCTGGCCATTAAATGATGATCACTTATATTTGGTTTGCCAGTCACATGGCCACCTAGCTACGCCCACCTTAGTCACATGGCCACCTAGCACACCCACCCCAGTCACATGACCACCTAGCCATGCCCAGTCGGCAAGCCATGCCCACCTAGTCACTTGACCACCACAAATTAGGCCATGGCCACAGAATTGGTTGTTAAGAAATTTGAATCCCACCCCTGGGTATGAGACCGTGTGTGATAATAGGGCCAGTGGTTAAACATATAGTTTCCTCCCTTTTCCTCTTGGTGGCTTTGAAAAATCCCTCTTTTAGACTCTCTCACATGAGAAAACAGTGATCTTCAGCAAAGTTTTTGTGACAGGAAGTTACAGGAAGACTAATCAGCTTCTTTCCCAGGACATTCTGCTCAAAATCATTGATTTCCTGCTGCTAATGGCAATGAGGAGCAATAATTTTTAGCGTGGTGGCTGAGAAGAAATAAGTGAGAGTGCATTCCTTGGTTTTGTGATAACTTAATTGATATTTTTAATCACACATTACCCTCAGCACCTGGTAAGCAGAATCACTTTTACATATTTAATATATTGAGGAGAAGAATATGCACACAGTGCAATTAAAATATTTATTTTAATGTCTAAAATAAGTATTAAACATTTATTTTAAAACATGAGTGGCATTGCACTGCTTCAGCAGCAGCAGAATAAGTCATCTCAACTTAGTCTCAGACAAAATGGACATTCTTTTTTTATTATATTTAGTGATTCAGAAGTCCTAATAGTTGACTTCTGGTTTGGGTCTCTTCAGCGACAGATCGAAATCCGCGATCGTGCGCAGTTTTGATCTGTGCTCGCCACTGGAGTGCCCTGATCCTTTGGATTTGGGGCTGAAGCTACCCCATAGAGATGGTGAAGAGGGGGGAGATTGCTAGCTGAGTGGAGGGGAGCTGTATCTCTCCTCCTTGGCTGGTCTAAACTCCCTTCCCTGAAGGCGGTTGCAGCGGTGGTCCTAAATGGCCACCTCAAAGAAGAACCCGACTGGATAAGATTTTGCAGGAGGAAGACAAAGAGGAAAGCAGGACAAACTGGGCTAAACAACAGAGAACATCGAAGCAAGGTACCCTGAATCTAAAAGTACCTAGAGGGATACTTCTGAAAGAAGATCTTTAACTGGTGAAGGAGAGAGAAAAGGAGGTTAAAACCCCTTTTTTGGCCTTTATATTGACAATTACAAATGGTATGGAAAAAAATTTATATTAATCTATTTTGACACTAATAGGCAACCTTAAGCTGAAATCTAAGTGTCAAAAGGAGAATAAAGATTTTTTCTTGGTCATTTTAAAGCCCTAAAAAGGAGAAGAGTGGAGGCAAAAGGGTGGGACTTGGAATAATGGAAAAATGGAGTGCTACCTGGAAAAATGAAGAGGATTAACAGTGAAACTTTGAAAAGACTCCCGAGGATACATTGTAACTGAAATCTTATTAAAAGACACAGTAACCGACGGAAAGGAAAAGGAAAGGAAAGAAACAAGAAGGAACAGTCTGGGATCATTTGCTGATTAAAAAAAAAAGTTTTTGGCATTGGTTTTTTTCTTTCTTTTTCTGTTTTTACTTAAAGTCAATCGGGTGGTTGTTCAAAAGTGTTTAAAATGCCATCACTCCTGGAGGAATTGAAGATGAGTCTTAAAAAACAGAAAGAAGATGCAGAAAGGGGAGGAAGATCCTTTGGCTTCATATTTGAATTTTTTGAAATGGAGATCCTGAGCTATGAAAAGCAAAAGGAAAAGCTTCAAGAGCAAGAAGAAGAGCGGGACAAAGAAGAAGCCATTTTCAATGATCAAATAATGCAAAGTGTGGTAATAAGGGGAAAAAGGGGAAAGGAGTTAATAGTTTGAGATCAAAGGGAACATCCAAAAAGAAAAATAGTCTGAAAAAGAAGTATAACAGCAAGGAGAAGCAGAAAAGAAAACTACAGAAGGGAAAATTAGAGAGAGAAGGGTATAAAAAAGGGATGAGAAAAAGGGGGGAAAGATAGAAAGGGAAAGAACTTATGAGGGACAAAAACAGGAAATAAAGAAAAAGGGGAAACGTACTAGGATTAAAGGTATTTGCTGAGCTAGAAAACACAGAGACAATGGTTAAATTAAGTTAAAAGTGAGGATTCTGCAAAGGTACAAAAGATAGTGTTGTGACAGTAGAATACTGTAATGAGATAGAAATGAAATAAGTAAGTAATCTATGAGATAAAACTGTATTGTTATGTAATGGTATGTTTATTTATAATTAATGCAATAATAAAGAAGAGAGGGAAACATTGCAATTGTTTCTAAAGATTGATAAAATATTAAAAAGAAATGTGAAAGATTTATAAGGAAATTTATACCAGTTATTAGAATGAATCTGAATAATTATTTTGCTTATTAATAGTAAATAATTTATAGGATAAAACTGTATGACTATCCAATGGTATGCTTATTAACAGTTAAGTAATAATGAAGAAGGGAGGGAAACATTTCAATTGTTCTCAAAGATTGATAGATATTGAAAAGAAACGTGAAAGATTTACAAGGCTCATACCAGTATTAGAATGATTTTGAATAACTATTTTGTTTCCTAATGTGTATGTGTGTGTGTGTGTGTGTGTGTGTGTGTGTGTGTGTATTGTTTTTGCTATGTTTTTAGAATTTTTCTTTTTACATTTTCAAGGGGAAGTACCAAGCAGAGTCTGAATGATGAGATCTACATGATATAAAATAGATATTAGAAATTTGAATGTTATAATTTTAGAATGCACAAATTCAATGTTTAATGAGATTTCATGTGATAATAACAATAAGATTTAAAGGTGTTGCACTTCGATTAGCAATCATAGGGGGAATTTTGCTTCTTAACAATGTTGGAAGAGAACATATGAAATTGTAAACAAGACAGACGAAAGTATAAGTACAATGAATAAAAAGATATAGAAATTTAGGTAAAAGAAATACAATTGAATAAGAAGAAAATGAGATAACCATAAAAGAAAATTAAGAGAAGTAAAGGGAGAAATAGTGAGAAGTTGGAAAAAGAGTAATAAGATATGAAGTTGAATACATAAGATGAATATGCATATGAAATTGTGTCTGTATGGAAATGTGATAACCCGGAACGATGCTGTACTCAAATAAGATGTTTTATTTATTTTGTTAAAACTCAATAAAACTTTATTAAAAAAAAAAAAGAAGACCTAATAGTTAAAACATTCCATATGATTCCATGGCAATAGGCCAAATGGTTTGTTTTCCCATGATATCCTTCTATATTGCTGTAATGTGAAAATGTGGGGTAGCAAATTAAACTCACAACTTAAACTCTCTTCTCCATACAACAACCTTTTTTCAGTAGCAAAACTGGTAGCTGTTTCTCCACATCATATCTGTAATATGCTGAAAAGGCCATTTTACAAGTTTAAGCATATTTGGAATATTTTTATTCCTAACTTCAGGGGCTCATGTTTTATAAAGTTTTTCCCCCTATGTCTCCGTTTAAACCTCTATCAGGAATTTCTTAAGGAATTCTCATCATTCTCATCAAACTGTTTTTGCAACTGAAGTAGATTAAATGAATCAGTTTATTTTAAGAATGAAAATATCTCATTTTTCTGAATCTTTTTATCACAGACGTCATGGGTTTGCACATTATGGACACACACTAAAATGTATTAAAAAAATTATTATAATATGGCCAACAATTTTGATTCATTTCATTTACTAAGGAAAAAGATATGTTGTTAGAATTTGTACCTGCAGTAGTACTTGCTGGTGAAGTGGTGTTAGTAAATACAAAGACAGTAGAGGTGGGAATACTGGTAGGGGTTGTGGAACATGGAAAGATATTCCTCTCAATTGTGCCATTTTGACTGCAAATTGCCGTGATGCACCCTCCAATGCCATCAGTTGTATTGTAGATGATCTCGCCAGGTTTGCTTATCTTTCCTTCATAGATACAGTAGCATTCTGTCATTTTAAAGAAAATCAATTGGTTATTAAGGTTGTTTCAATTCTCACAATGGCTGATCCAAATAATCACAGCCCACATCAAATCGACACAGTCTGCTTACCATTTTCATCATATCTGCAGTCCTCTTCACTGTCCATTGAGCAATAACTGTAAGGAAGCAAATGAGCACAGGTTAGAAGGCTCACCATTTTAAAAAGCACAACAGGTTAAAACAAATGTACTTATGTACAATTGGAATAGAATCATGCAGAAACCAACAGATTATTACAAGAAGATCCAATTCATTGTATGGAAACGTCCTGATAAAATTTCTGGAAAAATAAAAAAGCTTCCTGGCAAATTCAGAATTTATAAACAGATCGTCCGTTTTCTTTAGAAACACCATTCCTCCCCACACCCTAAAATTAAGGGAATAATAAAATTATTTATTTATAAATATTTTTTCACTTAAATAATTTTTCCCTTTAATAAAATTAAGATTTATTAATTATTGTTAACAAAAAGTCTCTCCTCACAAGAATTGGCAGTAGAGAATGGGTTCAAAAGATCCTGTGGTCTAACTGGAGCAAAACAGCTGAGTATCAAAAAAAATGTCATTGTTCATTGAAATGATTTAGCAAACTCTTAGTCTAACCTGAGGTGAGATGAATATAGAATAGAGTGTATTAACAGTATGACATTGTTTTAAAGAAATTGATCCTCAGTAGAGTATTTCAGAATGTTGCCTGCAATAATTCTTGCTCTTGTTTTATGAAACATAATGCTATTTCATGTAAGTCCTCTGCCAGATCTTTAACTTATCTGGAAGCTTCAATTGGTACAGAATACAGTGGTATGAGCAGTTATGAGTACTGTCAAAAGAACACACAATGCATCTCTGTTCTGTGAGCTGTGCTGGTTGCCAGTTTGCTCCCAGGTTCAATTCAAGATGCTGGTTTTAACCTTTAAAGCCCTTCATGGCACAGGACGAGGCCAGAGGTGGTATTTAGCAAGTTCTGACCAGTTCTGGAGACCCAGTAGCGGACATTTTGAGTAGTTTGGAGAACCGGCAAATACCACCCCTGACTGGAGATTTTACAGTATCCTTCCCCTGCCATGCTTACCAAGCCACGCCCACAGAACCAGTAGTAAAAAAATTTGAATCCCACCACTGGACGAAGCTATCTGAAAGAGTGTCTCTCTCCACTTGCATTAGCCCCACCCATGAGATCTTGCAGACAAGGGATACTGCAGATATTAACAGCTAGAGATCTACACTTGGGTGGGTCCCAGGAGATTGCCTTCTCTATTGTGGCTCTTAATTAATGAGTATTGTTCCCTTCCCCAATTAGACTGGCCCCACCCCTTTTGATATTCTGAGAGGGCCTCAGGATTTGAACATGTGACTAGGCCTGGGGTTGTCACAAAACAAATTTATCTAGGTGACTCTACTGTGAAGGAAGCCATTTTTTTATATCCTCCCTTTACTTCTGGTTTATTTTGGAGATTTAGAATATTTATTGCCATGTTTTTTTTTAATATTGGTACTTGCTATTTTTACACTTCTTGCTTTAATCCATTGTTGTGAGTCACCCAGAGTCACCTTTGATGAGATGGGTGGTTGTATAAATTTGAATAAATAAATAAACTTCACAATCCAGACACTTTAAGCACAAGACTTACCATGATTGACAGCTCTTTTCTGAAGGCAATTTTTCTCCTGGTTTATAATAGTTTCCTTTATCATCAAAGCAGCCACACTTATCAAGGGACACACAGTCCATCTCATCTTCATTAAAGTAGGGTTTATCATCTGGACATTTTGGATAGCATCCTACAATAAGAAAGAGAACTTAATGTAAGATTTTCACCAGACAAAATGAGCAAAGTAGGCAATAAAATAGAGATGCGTGAGGGATTTTAACAAAATCTAATCTTCAAAGATAGAAGGAAAAAGATAGAAAAAAGAGCAAACAGTTCCAAACATTTTTTTTAAAATTAAGCTTAAAAAAATTAATGTTATGCTGGCAGATAAGAAAAAAGTGGGCTTTTTGGAGAAATAACTGCTTATTTTTCAATTCAAACCAACTATTTGGTATTATCTTTCATTTGTTAGCATGTGCAAAACTGCATGCATCCGTAGCATTAAACTTGGATAATCCAGAATTGAACAAATCAATTTCCATAAATTTAACACTCTTTGTATAAAACAGTTATTAGAAAAATATATCCTCACTTCTTAAGCAAGTCTTGAATAGCTCCTACTATAGTAATTAGAAGAATTGATCTGATTTTCAGTTTTTAATGGTTGTTGCAAGTCAAAGATAAGATGTATAAATACTGTACCTTCCAAGTCATATAATTCAAGTGAACAATTGTGTGGATTCCTACAGGTCTTCATGCAAGAAGAACCACAAGGTTGATAATGCCATTCACACTCTCCCTTTTTATTGTAGTAATCACAGAATAAAGCTGGAAGGAAACAAACAGTTTAAGTGAAATGTGCTTATTTTACAAGAGATATTCCTTTAATATTCTTGATATGACAAATGTTATTACATTTTCTTACTTGATAACATCAGAAAATAAAGGCTGTTATCTTGGAATAAGTACCTTGAACCTAATACTATGAGAGGACATCTCTTATTGTTTTATATGGGATTGTTTTGGAGGAACTCCAACTAAAATCAGTGGCAGTTACTTCTGGGAGATAGGTATTCAGCAATATAGTGCTGAATGGCACCCACAGTATCTGATACACACACACACACATCTAGGAATGGTAATTGTTTGTTTGTTTCCGTTTCCATGGTGAATTTGATTTTGGGGCCAAATAACAAATGTGTCATCGATTTATCTTAGCCATAGTTTGGGTTTGTGGGTGGCATTGGCTAGGGCTCTGGATTCGAATTCTTCCATGAACAGGTTTGCAACTTACACAAAGAGGAACTAAAAGCCCTGCAAGCCTTAAAGAACGACAGGAGCAGAATCATACTTCCAGCAGATAACGGTAATGCCACAGTCATAATGGATAGAAAAGACTACGAAACAAAATTGACAGACCTACTCCAAGACTCCACATACAAACCCATAAACATGGACCCAACCACATATCTGGAAAAAATAGCCAAGAAGAAAATTATAACCAGCCACATGAGCAAAGAGATCCAACAGATGATCATCCCAAGAGAAAAATCTTCCAGATGCCCCAAACTATACGGCCTCCCAAAAATACACAAAGAAGGCATACCTCTCAGACCCATAGTCAGTTCCAGAGGAGCACCACTACAAAACCTAGCCAAATACCTAGCAAAGCAGCTACAGCCCCATGCTGAAGCAGCAGCTTCACATGTACAAAACTCATACCACCTCTTGGAAATGATCAAAGATCTACACGTGGAACAAAAAGATCTGCTTGTAAGTTTCGACATGGTTTCACTATTCACTCAAGTCCCGATAAAAGAAACTCTCAAAATCATCAAAAATAAATACCAACCACCCAAACACCTCATGGAACTAACAGAACACTGCTTAACCAACACACATGTCATATACAAAGGACAAAGATACAAGCAAATTGAAGGAGCCCCTATGGGATCACCACCACCCAGCACAGATAAACTCCGTAGCCAAAATACTAATTGCCAGAACCAAACACCTGGCAGACAAGACACACATAAAGACTGAACTATGCACCCTGACTAAAGTACTGACAGCCAACGGCTTCCACAAAAACAAAATCACTGGCTTGATCCACAAAAACACACTGAGACATAATGGAGACCTAGAAGATGAACAGACCTATGGAACAGCTGTCCTGCCCTACATAAGAGGTACTACAGACAAAATCAGTAAGATAACTACACAGGCATCACATCAAGACTGGCTTCAAACAGACAGAAAAATAGTAGCCATCCTCAGAAACCCCAAAAATAAAATTGACCTGGAAAACCAAGGCATAAATGAAGTCCCCTGTGCATCATGCCCTGCCACATACATTGGACAGACCAATAGAAGAATAAGTACCCACCTAGATGAACACAAAAATGCAGTAAAAAAGCTGGAACACACTTCCTCACTTGTCCAACACATGAAAGCCACAGGTCATAGCATCAACTTCAATGGCACCAAAACCCTAGCCACTATAGAAAACCCCAGCTACAAAATTATCAGAGAAGCAATAGAGATTGAAAAAAGACCTGAAAGCATGAATAGAAGAGATGACTCCACCAGACTGTCAATTATCTGGAAGCCTGCACTCTCAAACAAAAAAATCTCCACACCACAAGCCAGGCAAACACCCGGGCACAAACAGACTCCCCCTGATACCTCCAGCTCAAACACACCCCAACCAGGCACCCAGGTGAAACCTAGCTTCCTAATAAATGATAGCTGTCTGTTTACTTGGAGCCAAGCCACACTAAAAGCCTCCAATACAGGAAACACAATGTTGCCAGCCAATCAAGACAAAAAAAGCTACAAAACAGACAGAAGATATTAGAAACACCAATCAAGCAGAACACAGCAAACTCCAAGACCAATAAACATAGACCAAGACTCCCAACCAATCAGGATGAAGAAAAAACCATTCTGGCACAGCAGTAGGCTAGCCCCAAATTTAAATCTGAAACCACTGTAAAAGTCTGACTCACAGACGAACCCAATACAGAAGCCTGATGATGGCAGATGAGATTCTGCCGAAACGTTGCTACAACTTTAAAACCAAAGGAAACCCAGCCATTATATACACGCACACACCCAAGGGCAATTTGTAAGCTAAAAATGGCTTAAATCTTTTGGGAATCCTTAGGTCTCATGAGATGTCAGAGTTCTCATTGAACTCATTGTCCTATGGATAGCAAACAGGATCTTAGACTGAAAGTTCTTTGAATCTAATAGTGGGGGCAGGGGAAATTCTACTCCATTATACACTGGAACAATTACAACTTGTTCAAGAATTGTTATTCTGTTTCCACATGTTCTTCTGCATTTTCTGTTCTCATATCATCTTTTTCCTATGACATAGGTATGTCTTCCCTCGCAATCTCGCAAGGCTTTCTTAGTTCTGATACATCTGATCATAGCCATTGTAGGCACGTAGTAACGCCATGGTTCAATAAATCTCAACCTTAAGTTAAAGTAATTTGCAATATTTAGGGGCTCAGGTACGCCTTTCACAAAATAAGCATGTGCATATAAAACCTGAGTATGAATGCATTGCCAGTGATCTTCATAGAGATATCTCATTTCTGTTTTCTCAGTTGGGCTCAGCTGAAGACGCAGTGTAACCATCAGCCCAGAGAGGTAATACATTCAGCTCTTATAGTATTTGCTTGCATTCAGAAGACTCAACCTAAGTCCAATGGTGATGGTTTTCTAGTATTACAAATCCTGTTTGGTGTGGTCCTGAGAAACGAACAAATTGTAACTATTGTCTACTCCTTATTCCCACCTTCAGCGTTCCTGGGAAGTGTACTTACGACAGATGGATGGAGTTCTCCAAGAGATACATGCACCAGCCTCTTGACATGCCTGTGCATATGCAGCTACAGCTGTACAAAAGCATTCACAGTCTCCTCCAGTGTCACAAGCACAGGCATCAGATACACATGCTTCATAATATTTAGTTGGTTCAACCTAGTAGGAAAACAATGAAGCTAATTTGGCGTGTGCCTTAGTTTGGGTAGGTGAGCTTGGTGAAGCATGGGGTGGGGGGATATTTTCTCCCAGTTGCCATTCTTATATTTTCAACCAAATCTTTCTGGAGAACTGACAGTATTGATCACTATTCTTTCTTTCCTTTATATAATACCATTTGTTGTAATAACAACTGCATGCACAAACCAATTTGTTGTAGTTATGAAAGCAATAGTTTTGGGATGCAACTGGTAGAAGTGAAACAGTTATGAATCATCTGTCATTTGCAACAGATCAGGCTGCAATTTGCAATGAAACAAAAAGGTATTCTCTAAATCTATTAAGGAACAGTTCAAATCCAACAATTATTGGACAAGTTACCATCAAGGATACTAAGCCAAACCATAGTGGGATTTGCAGTGACCAAGACAATGTACACATTGTAAAAATAGAGATAATATTCTTAGTAATATTCAGGGGATTTAGCCTATGTCCAGAGCAAGATTGTTTTATTGATTAGATCTACAATTAATGCTTCATATTACAGAGCATCCAGAAATGTGTTTCAGTTATTAATATTTCCAAATACTTTGGGCAGATGTAACAGGTAACAGATAATCAGAGTTGGAAGGGACCTTGTAGGTCTATCTAGTCCAACCCCCTGCCCAAGCAGGAGATCTTACAACATTTCTGATAGATGGGAGTCCAATCTCTTCTTGAAAGTCTCAAGTGATGGCACTCCCACAACTTCCGAGGGCAAGCTGTTCCATTGGTTGATTGTTCTCACTGTCAGAAAGTTTCTCCTTATTTCCAGGTTAAATCTTTCCTTGCTCAGTTTCCATCCATTATTCCTTCTCTGGCCTTTGGTTGCTTTAGAAAATAGCTTGACCCCTTCTTCTCTGTGGCAGCCCCTCAAATATTGGAAGACTGCTATCATGTCTTCCCTGGTCCTTCTCTTCACTAGACTAGCCATGCCCAGTTCCTGCCTAATTAAAAAGGAATGTAGACATGCTTGTGGATAGCTTAAACACTGCTAAAATGTTCTGAAAGCAAGATATCCATGATACCACCAAGATCTGTTAGCAAACATATTTAATGCCCCCTCCAGCCATCATGTCAGGTTTGCCAAAGAATAAACAGAGCCTGGGAGAACAGAATTGGTAGTAAAAGGACTCATAGTTACAAAGGAATCCTCTGAGAATTACAAAATACTGAAACAAGGTTTTATTTATTTTTGTAATCTTTGGAGTGCTAGAATGATAGCATCTCGTTACAGTTGCTTGATTTGTGGCTATTACATCTTAATCTAAGCAATCACATGCATACAATATTGTTAATATAGAGCTAGCTAGACCATGAGTTATGAACACAATTGAACCCAAAATTTCTGTTGCTAAGCAAGGTAGTTGTTAAATGAGTTTTGCCTCATTTTACGATCTTTCTTGCCGTGGTTGATAAATGAATCATGCAGTCATTACAGTGAATCTGGCTTCCCCCATTGATTTTGCTTGTCAGAAGCAAGCTGGGAAGATCACAAATGATCACATGATCCTGGGACAGTGCAATTGTTGAAAATACATGCCAGTTGCCAAGTGTCTGAATATGTGATGGTGTGACCACAGGGATGCTGCAATGGTTGTAAGTGTGAAAACTGGTCCTAAGTCTTCTTTTTTTTTTTTTGCAGTGATATTGTAAGTTTGGTTACTAAACAAACCATTGTAAGTCAAGGATTACCTGTATTGGATAAAGTTCGCTCAAATGATCTATATAGTCTTCTGAAATGGATCTGTTCATACCTGAGGATGGCAGAGAGCAAATGTCTTGCTGTGAATGATGCTACACTGCTTCTGTGCCCAGGAACTCCTGTAGGGATTTGCAGTACAAGGATCTCTGCTACCTGAGACATCTGGACAAGTAGGAGAAACTTTCCAGCTGTTACCGAACTCCAGGACATCTCCTATTACAGACTGGCTCCTGGTGGTGAAATCATTGATGTCATTGCCATCATAGTTTCCACAAAGGCCACAGACTTCACCCTGCACAAAGAAAAGTACAAATTGAAAGCTGCACAGAGCTTTGGTTCTGTTGTGGTTAGCCAGCGGCAGGTGCGTAGGGCTGAGGAGAGTGAGGATTCAGATGAGGGGCCAGGACCATTAGGGAGTGGACTGATGCCTTCAGAGATTGTGTGGGCTGGCAGCAGCGATGAGGAGGTTCCCGACGAGCCTGTGCCAAGTGCGCATGCGCACAGGGCTGCTTGCAGGAAAGAGCAGCTGCAGCAGCATGGCCGACTCGGGAGTAAGGCTGCAAGGTAATGGCCCCTCCTTCAAGATGATAAAAGCCAGCTGAGAATCGGACATTCTTTGCAGGAAGCAAAGACGTTTTGAAACTCGAGCCTCGTGAACATTGCAGGATCTTAGTTGGTATTTGAAGACTCTTGCATTGTAAAATATTTCTAGGTAACCTTATCTGTTATTCTTGGCAGCCTTGCACAGTTTTGGCGAGGCTCGTGCTTATCAAAGTTATTTAGTTTGCAGCAGCCTTTTAACCGGGGATTTGTAAGAATCATTAAAAGGTTTCTGTTCCCTTTGGTTTGTGTTTGTTTTATTGGAAAAGGGTTTGGGGCAGAACAGGTTCTATCTTTAGAAATTGAACCATTTTAATGTTGAAGAATATGCATTGCTCAGAGACCTTTAAGTATATTTCTCACGCATAGTTTGAACTCATGTACTCAAAGCTGCATATGTTAAAGACAAACCCAAGTCAATGTTGTGGCTTGCCGGCAGCCTGTGCAGACACCAGCAAAATCAGACAGTGGGGAAGAACAGGGACCAGTCTGGGAGTCTGGGGAGGACTTGGACGAGGGTCCTGCGTCCAATACAGAGATGTGGCCAGGAACATGTGCTGACTTGGAGCTTCCAGAATCTGGCAGCAGTGAGGCAGAGGAACAAGGGGAGCCTGTTCCCAGTGCACGTGTGTGCAGAGCTGCCAGAAGGCAAGAGCAGCTAAGACAAAAGGGATGACTCGGGAGTAAGGCTTGGAGGTGATTGCCCCTCCCATAAGGTATAAAGGAAGTGCAAAGGTAGGAAAACCTTTGCAGGAGGCTCTGATCAGTTCACTCTGATCAGTTTGTACTCTGAAAACACCATGGTGAATTTGTTCTCTGTTTGGTTTTGTAAAGACTAATTGGGACTTTAGTCGTTGGCAGCACTTCAAGTAAGATAAGGTGCGTTCTTATCAGATGTCTCCCGAAGAACTTTGGCAGACGTCCCTGGGATTATTTATAACCTGTTAAGACTCATTCCGGGCTGTGTGAATGACAATAATTCACAGCCATTGAACTAAAATAAAAGGGTTTGGGATTTTATGTGTGTTTGTTGGTGTCTCAGAAAGCCTTGGTCAAAACAGTCGAGGAATGCTTAATGTGGATTCACAAAACAATTAAGCATCTATGAAACCAATACATTTTTCATTACACTGAAACAGCCTTATGTCTCATAGCAATGAAATAGACATGCCTATCTCTCCCTAACCCCAATTTATTCCAAAATTAGTTTTAAGAACTGGGTTTTTTTTCTTCAAAAAGCATAACATGGCTGTCCCTCTGAGAATGTATTTCCTCAAAAGCTGTTTGAGTTCCTCAAACTATTAAATAACCTATTGCTATGTATTTTACTCTATGATAATTATCATATGAAATGTACAGTTCTTTTCAGTGGGATAAGACATTGCTCCAAATAAAAGAAATCCAAGCATATGAAATTACATTTTCTACAACATTGTGTGTGCATATGCTTGTGTACCATACATTGAATAGCCCAGCTTTGAAAAGTTATCCTTGAATGGAGTACGTAACCCTAACAGAACTGAAAAGGTTATGTTTCACAGAATGAGCAGGTGGATCTTCCTCATGCAAAAGGTTTCGTGATGTTGAACTTGTCCTGAGATTGCACACAGAGCTATGATTAACATTAATAATTAAGTTTAATTGATACAAGCCAACTTCAGCAACCAAGATTTAGAATATTTCTTTTCAAACACTACTTTAAATAGATGTCTCCAACTCTTGGTCATGATAACTGGGAGATTTTGTGAGTTCTCATCCCAACCTATTTGAAAAGGAGGTTGTGCAAAACTGGTTTAAAATTAAGCAGATCATAATGTCAGTCATAGTTTGTCTGCTAATGTGATGTCATTGTAAGTATTGGTCCAAAACTAGAGATGCTGAAGTTCATTCCTACATTCAGCGAGCATTCATAGATGCTCACTGAGTGGTAATTTTATTTTCTGCTCATCCAATCTCAGGATAATCACTGGGGAAAAAAGGCAAGGAGCAAGTACTCTGTATTCTGCCTTGGTCTTCTGGAAACAGAAATGAAAGCTTTTGCATTTCTTTCAATCATATGGAACTTGATTCCCCAAGCTTGGCAATTTTCAGGTCTATAGACTTCAGATCCCAGAATTCCATAGTAGTACGGCTATTAATGAGAATTCTGGGAGTTGAAGTTCACTTACCTGGAAGCTGCCAAAGTTGTGAAAGTTGTGAATTAGGGAAGGAAGTATGTGAGGTCTATGCTTGTTAGTATTTCATTGAACTATATTTCATTGAACCATAATTCAGTGTGATTTCCAAGAATTGCTTTTGTTATATGTTGATAATCAGTTCAAGTGATACACATACATATCTATTCAATTATTCACAGAATTCATTAGGAATGATTATAATTTCCATATAAATATGTTAAATGGGGTCAGTCCACCCGAATAAAATATTTACAGTATTTCTGAAATGCAAATGCTATAGCCAATCATCTGTGTTCTTACAATGCAAATGCAGCTAAGAATGTTAGCTATTACAAGGTCAACAGAGAATTGTCATTCATAATGACCATGTTTATTGCTCTGCATAATATAATGTTGTCTTGCCCTTTGCATTTTACATGACAATTTTTTCAGTTATCAATGGTTCTAGCAACCAAAATAATACTAAATTGACTGTAAAGAGGAACTCTTAAACATTGTTCTTCATTGATTGTATCATTATATTATGAATATATCATTTATTCTGTAAACATTTTTCAGTGAAATTCTTCAGAAATGAATAGTTTCTAATTCAGTTTCTATTTTGCATTCACTCCTTACCTTAAAGTGTGCTTCGAGTTTAATGAACACACTGGTTTTTTTATCCCATATCAGGATCACGCTTCCGTTAAAAATTTCAATCACCATGTAGATGCCCATGTATCGAATCTTGAATGGCACTTTGTCTCCACCAGGAAGTCTCTGTATCACCTCAAATTTTCCATCTGTAAGTAGTAACTCATACTTCTAAAAGATAAAATACAAGCAACATAAATACTTGTACCTATATCTATCAATGGAGAGTCAGTTTGGTGCTGTGATTAAGGCATCAGACTAGAAAACAGGAGACCATGAAATCTAGTCCTATCCTAGGTATGAAGACAGTTGGGTGACCTTGGGCAAATCACTTTCTCTCCTCCCTAGAATATATGAAAGGGCAAACTACTTCTTAAAACTTGCCAAGAAAACTGCAGGAATTTTTCCAGGCAGTCACCAGGACTCAAACACACACACAGAGGGAGGGAGGGAGGGAGGGAGGGAGGGAGGGAGAGAGAGAGAGAGAGAGAGAGAGAGAGAGAGAGACAAACCACCCACATCACAAAAACCACCTATCAGTGCTGTTATTTCTAATAATTTCAGCTGGAGATTTCCATTATTGGCAAGTTCTGTATTGGCTGATGGATATTTTTGCAAATCTTACCATATACTATTTCAAGATTTCCACTTATTATATAAAGATTTCATATTACATGTTTTGTTGCTTTGTCTGTAGTACATGTTTTGGTCATACTGCAGGTCATAATGTTTTTACTTTCTACTAAGTTACTTACCCCAGCGAACACCTTAATGGCTTTTGAGCAGGTAGTCCCTGTAGAACCGCAGGGGATATTCTCTGTGATCACCCGGAAAGTTTCTACATTTGTCTTATTTTTACCACACTGATTCTGCAGAAAAGAATGTGGCATTAAGTTTTTATGAACACAAATATGGAGATTCAAGGCTAAAAAAAATTATAACTTTATGATAGTAGAAATTGATTGAGAAAAAGTTTAATACCTGGACCAGTGTGTATTCACACAATCCATTGAAGGAGTATCGTTTGTCGTCAAAGGTGATATAATGACCATCTCCGTAAACTGAACAAGTTTCCAGACAAGGTTTATTAGAGCATATCCACTTTCGGTTTTTGCATGTGCTAGGTAGCCAAACACATGCTAGATATTAATAGGTGTGCATTGATGCAATAGAGATGCAATCAGTTTTATATCATCCATCAATTTATACATACCAAGTGTTACATTTATCTTTGATAGTTTCTCCTGGTTTGTATGTGGCTTCATTGTGAACACATGGACATTCTTCTGCAGGTATACATTTGCCTGTACCATCAGAGACTAGCTGATCAGGACATACACAACCAGAGACACAATGTGCGCTATACTGCAATAATAGAGGATTAACAAAAAGTGTTACCTGACAAAACTGTATGGTAAGAAGTAACACTTCTAAGATATTGTACAAAGGAAACGTGATTTCAAATTAGCACCAGTTTTTCCTACTGATTTTAATGTGTATACTGGTGTTTCAATCTCCCTTTCCTCCAGGAATTTTGATATAGCAATCGCAATAGTACTCAAATTTATATGAAGCTTCACGGTGCTTTACAGCCCTCTCAAAGCAGTCTACAGAGTCAGCCTATTGCCCCCAACAATCTGGATCCTCATTTTACCAAATTCAGAAGGATGGAAGGCTGAGTCAACCTTGAACCTGGTGAGATTCAAACTGCCAAATTGCAGGCAGCCGGCAGTCAGCAGAAGTAGCCTGCAGTACTGCATTCTAATCACTGCACCACCATGTCTCTTCACGAATATGAAGAAGGCTCCTTTTTTATTTTTATGCATCTCTGGACAGCAACTTGGCATAAACTTAATAACCATAATAGAATCAAAGATCAAACTATGCAGAATCATGACTAAACCATTTTTGTTAAGCAGGTTTACAGTATCCTAAGAGTTTGTTCTCCTTTCTCCCAGAAAGATCTTCATTAACCATAATCTCTTGTGACCTATCAGACTGATTTCTATTTGGCAATATCTCCCTCAAGTGATAGGAAGATAGTGTGCCAGGTTGTGCTGGCAGTTCCAGAGACAGAAAGACTATTTTCATTACAGTCAATTACCTGCTGGCAGAAATACATTCAACTCAACTGATGATAATTTCAGTTATTAATATGCTGTTTTATTTATTAAATTTCTGTTCTTCATTTTCACCAAGAAAACAATCCCACCACAAGCTAAAAAAGCTATTAAAATCAGACTAGCTATACTTACACATCCCATATCAAGTGTCTGGCAGCTCTTCTGACACTCAGCCCCATGAGTGTTAGCTGTGGCATTATTACAATCGAAGTAGACCATAGGAGCAACACAATCTGGTAGAAAGGAAAAAATGATTCTGTCTGAGATTTTATCTCAGTAATTACACAATTTATATTATGTTGGAAAGCTGGAAAATGCCTCTTCATAATCATAAAATTAATGTACAGTAATTGATCAAGTTTTCAATTTGCTTGTGAAGTACACAAATTAAATCCACATGAATATTTGTACTTCAGTTTTACAAACAGTGGTTGGATTGTGGTCCTTCAATGGCTGCCCTCATTCCCTTGCAACTTTCTCAATCCCCCAATTCTGGTTTGGAAGATTGAGGACATTCTACAACAGAATTCTGCATGTTGCAGAGAAATGAGAAATCAGCAAAAATCAGTTGCACATTTCTCGGCTGCCAGAGTATTTTGAGCCAACAACTTTACTCAAGGAATCCCCCTCTTGTGGGAGCTGTATTGGAATGAATTCAGGATTTCTTTCTAGATTAGCCAATCAGGTGTTCAGTTTCTACAAAACTTGCATTTAATGATGCTATTGCCAGATTGGAGGAGGGGATGCTATTATGACAAATTAAACAGCAAACTTGTTCATAAAGTACTGCACTTAAATTCTATGCTTGCTTTAGGCATAGATTTTCCTTGCTGGGTCTGAACAAGGCTGGGAATCATAATAAAACAGGGAATAAAATGGTGGCTGTACCTGTTTGTGGTTTCACTACCCCAATGCACTGAAGCTTGCCTTGCACACAGGTACTGTAAGAGAGTAAGACAGCTATTAGTTTGAAATAAATGTAATAAACTTACAGTCCTGATTTATTACACTTTAAATTGTAAGTAGTTTCTTTATTGACAAGGGGAGGGGGGGAGAGAAGGAGAAGGAAAAGGAGAAGAAGAAGGAAAGAATCTTTCAGAATATGTTGAAATACTGAAAGGGATTTGTTTTTGATGTCGTTGTTAGAAATCAGAAGATCTGTTACTTAGACTTCTTCCCAGGGGTGGTATGCTACTGGTTCGGCCTGGTTCAACCGAACCAGTAGTAAAAATCACGACCGGTTCGGAACCGGTAGGAAAAAAAAGCCTCCAATCAGCTGAGAGGAGGCCAAAAAAGCCTCAGACAATCAGCTGAGAGGATAAAAGACCCAAAAGCACATGGGAGGGTAGGAGGGTCGCTCCTAGCTTTTCGTTTCTACATCCTCTCAGCTGATTGGCTTGTTAGGTGCGTGCATGCACGCACATGTGATCACTCACTGTACCGTTAGCGACTAGGGTAGCACCCACTACTGGTCCTTTCCTATGGATACTTGAAGCACTTCTATCAGAAATGGGTGGGCCACAAATTCATACAGGTCAGCTGTATTATTGTTAACTTCCCTGACTTTTACCACTTTACTTTTGACCTAGCATAACGCAAACAATAAAAAAAGTGAATCCTTTACTGATGAAGTCCAGTTCTGTTTTTTTGCTAGCCTCTTTTCAAAAATAATAAGTTTTCATTCTTCTGTCTCCCAAAAGGCTTGGGTTTTCAAATCAGACAGATTTGATCATTTAGAACTATCTTTTAATGCCCAAATGTGGAAAAAAAGATATTACAAAATGAATCAACAGGTACTTCCATTCCATCTTTAAAAACTCAGCTCAGTGTAAGAAGTACAATAAAATAACAGCAGTACACCAGATTTGAAGTTTTATTTATTCTAGTAAATGAAGTGACTTTGCAAAAGTATTTGTGGTCCTGAACTGTCAGCTCACAAGCAAGGTTGCTTTCCCCTATAGTTTTGTTCCATGGCTTTCTACTACTTCTCTCTTTCTACCATTATGTTTATTTCAAGTCTCTCACCACATGATGCCATTGTCATGAACCACCTCTCCAGATGGAATGGCAGATCCTTTGTGGTAACAAGGGCACTTAGAAGCAGGCACACATTTGCCACTGTCATCGAGGTATGTCCCTTCTTCACAGGTGCATCCATCTACTGGAGGGAACTTGATTTTGCAGGTGACATCAACCTCACTGAGAGCTCTGCAGGTGGCTTGACAGGTCCCAATGTTGTAATGATAGCTCCAGGTTTCAGGACAAATTTGGAATTTGGCTTGAGAAGAGAAAAAGGAAAAATAATTGATTTATTATTAGCAATTATGACTAGAAATTCCTACACACAACAAGCTGCAATGGCTCTTTCTCTGTCTCTCTGCCTCTGCTGCTGTCTCTGCCTCTGCCCCTCTCTCAGAAAAGGTGATGGGGGGACTCTCCAAATATCTGCTTCTCCAAATATCTCCCAACATCAAAACATGTTCTGCAACCCCCAAAAATAAAGCTCATAAAAGAAAAGTTCCTGACCAGTGAAGATGGCCATTGTCATATACAGTAATTGTTGAAAGAACTGCACTAGTCCAATTCAAACACTGGGTATCAACCTATAAAGCCTAAAGAAACTTGGAACAGGATGCTGAATGCAAAAGGCTGGTGGGCATGTAAACCACTAGATGCCTTGGAAGGAGAGAGCAAACTTCAGCTGTTGAAAAGCAATAGGAGTCCAGTAAAAGTTCGGTAATAATAATAATAAGAAGTGGCTAGAGTTAAAGCAACCCTACCCACAAGATTTGAGGCATGAGAAGTTTGCACATGCAAACTTGAGGCTTGCACATGCAAACATATTTTAAAATAAATGTAATAAAAGTTTTATTCATGCTAATTTTGAAGTTATTTTTTTAAAGTCTACTCATTTTCTAACATATATATTTTTTCCTCTTCTCTGAAAAATAAGACAGCTTCCAATGGTCTGGGACCCTTCAGGAGTGTTTTAATTGTGTTAAAAGCAAGTAGGGACAGTGAGAATAACAGTTGGAAGCGACGTTGGTGGTCTTCTAGAGATCCTGTACCATACCAGACAAATGGCTGCCCAACCTCTCCTTAAAAACCACCAGTGATGAAGCACCCATAACTTCATAAGGGAAGCCATTCCACTGATTAATTGCTCTGTCAGGAAATTTCTCCTTAGTTCTAAGTTGGTTCTCTTTTTTGTTTGTTATTCTAAACTTACCACAGACAATAGTCCTCCATCCACTTAGCAATACTCCTTTAGCAGCACAGGCCCTGACATAAGCTGAAAGGGCAGCACACATGCAGTCTTCACTCTTTTCACAGTTACAAGTGTCAAACATGCAGTTCTAGAAAAACAAAGGACCTTTGGATTAACCAAACTTCACCTTCCTTTCGAGATATTTCCCTTTATATCTGGGTTGCAATCCTTGGATCTTTCAGATATCGCTGAATGAAGGTCTCTTCCAACTCTGTTAATCTATATATGTCAGCCAGCCTCTCTTCCTATCGGGCTACTAGAAGGTATAGGCCAGGGCTGTAAAACTCGCGGCCCAGGGGCCGGATGCATCACATGCTGCCATGCCCATACCCAGTTTAGCAAACGGGAAAAACATCATGATACATCACGTGACGCTGTCATGACAATGTGAGTTTGACACCCCTGCTGTAGGCAGTAATATCTGAAGAGTCACCACTTCTATAATTTTGTTTTAGCCTGGCCTTGCAAAAATCATAAGCAACTTGGAGAGATTGCATTGGAAGTCTTTTTTCGGCTTTCATCTAAGCTGTGTGTCATATACTAGTCAGTTGGGTTCTTTCAGTATATAAATATGTAACAGTTTATTAGCTTTCAGGGAGCAAGGTATTTCCATGAATTATGGCATCCTGCAAAGTGAATAGCCATATACGTCAGGTACGATAAATCAGTAAAGTAAACTTAGAGTTCACGCTGGAAATGAAGGGCTCCTTCTAAATCCAGCTCATTAAAATTTCTTTCCTTTTACATTTTCTACATTTTTTCTTAAACATTACAAAAAATTTAAATTGACTGTTTTATACAACTTGACTTAACATATGAATTTTGTTCACATCTTAATTTAGAATGTGCATTTTTTTAATGTACAGTTTATATTTTAATTGAGTTTTCCTAATATATTTTGCTTGTATACAACTTTCCCCAGTCTCTGTGTACACTTATGCAAATTTAAACCATAAACTATATTACAAAATCTGAAACACAGGAAGGATAATAATGTTTTGAATCACATAATAGTCAAGGAAATGCAAGATATTTAGAACAACTTAAAAATTATATGACATCTCCAATTAAGACCTAACACCAGAATGGAAATATATATTCCATTTTTATATAAGGTAAAGGTAAAGGTTCCCTTTGCACATATGTGCTAGTCATTTTTGGCTCTAGGGGGCAGTGCTAAGCTCCATTACAAAGCCAAAGAGCCAGCACTGTCTGAAGACTTCTCCGTGGTCATGTGGCTGGCATGACTAGCTGAAGGCGCACGGAACGCTGTTACCTTCTCACCAAAGTGGTCCCTATTTTTCTACTTGCATTTTTACATGCTTTCGAACTGCTAGGTTAGCAGAAGCTGGGACAAGTAACGGGAACTCACTCCATTACACGATGCTAGGGATTCGAACTGCCAAACTGCCAAGCTTTCTGATTGACAAGCTCAGTGTCTTAGCCACTGTGTCACTTTGTCCCTTTCCATTTATATATACCAATTAATATTTCATACTAACATTTGACTGTTAACTATTGATTAGGTAAAGGTTCTGGTGTGCTATATAAAATGAGAAGTATATTGATTGGATTACAAAATGTGAAAAAAAAAGAGTGAAAGGAGTGAAAAAAAACCAATACATAGAAAGCTCAACAAAAGACCAATTAAAATCTTAAGTGGCCTCTCTGATTTTGGCAATGCATTTCTTCCCATCTTTAGGTTCTTCTTGGCATTTCAATGGAAGAGAAATAACTACTCACAGTATGGTAAATATCTGGGTTTACTACTGAGTGGCATTTCTGAAAAGGCCCCTTTTTGTCAGTCAGCAATCCGCACCAGTGTAAAGCATATTTTTCTGTAAAACAGAGATAAATGGGATGTCATTTTTTGTTATGCATCTTCCATCTACATCAGCAGCAATGATCAATTATATCAAACTGACAAACACATTAGAGTAATCAAGGCTCCATTCCTTTTTACTAAGATTCCCATTCACTGCATTAGCACTAACAGGGGTGGGGCTTTGATTTCCCAACCACACTTGCCATTTTGTCATCATAATCTGACACTGTACATGCTGTGGAACATGGTTTTAATTTTAATTCTAAACCCTTAGTAAAACAGTTTTGTGCTGCACAAAAATCTAATTTAAACCAGGCAAAACAGCTGCATTCTCTCAGCTTTGTAATAATAGTTCTGTCTAGGGGTGGGCTGCTGGGAGTTCACAAGGGTTCAGGAGAGCCCCTAGCTTAGATTCTGTGCAGTTCGGAGAACCCTCAAATCTCACTCCTGTCTGGCTCTGCCCACCCACCCCACCCCTCCCGGCCCCACGCGGCCCATTTTGGATGCAGGCAAGTGCAGGGTGTACGTGAAAATTTGGGGATGGTGAAAAATGGGCCTCCTGAAAGTTCAGGAAGGGCAGAAATGGGCCCGTTTCTGTTTTCCCGAGAGCCTACAGAGCCCGGGGAGGCCATTTTTGACCTCCTAGAGGCTCGAGGAAAGCCTCTGGAGCCCAGGGAGGGCAAAAACACCCCCCACCATGATGCAGGAGGCCAAGTAGGCCATGTCCACCATGGCCATGCCCACCCAGCAACCGGGCAGAAAACCCGTTGCTAAATTTTTTGAAGCCCATCCCTGGTTCTGTCATCTTTGGGTACATTATAGATTTTTCATTTTCTGCTGACGTGTTTTCATGTGACTATACATGTCACTGTTTTTATTTATTTGGGGGGAGGGATTGTAGAAGAAAAGTCTACAGTAGTCCCAAATCAGTCTAATCTCCTTTACAAGACTCTTTTCTGAAGAAAATGAGAAGAAATAAAGCATGAATGTTGTTCTAGTCTCCTTGGAGGAAAAGCAGGACATGTAAATGTAGATAATAATGATAATTCTTATTGTGCTTTGTGAAGATGAACTTTATGTCCTGAGAATTCTAGACACAAGCAACTTTAACCCCAGAACAGTTGACTATTTCAGTCCATCTGGGTTTTTATATTTTTTAAACACAATGCTAAATGTGTTTCTAGATTTTTTTAATAGGACTTCTTTTTAAAGATGTTTCTAGGACAGCCATGCTTTCTGTGAATTCTAGAAATAGTAGCAATAGCACTTAGACTTATATGCCACTTTATAGTGCTTTACAGCTCTCTCTAAGTGGTTTACAGAGTCAACCTCTTGCCCCCAATTTGGGACATCATTTTACCCACCTCGGTAGGATGGAAGGCTGACTCAACCTTGAGCCTGGTGAGATTGGATATGCCAAATTGCAGGCAGCCGGCTGTCAGCAGAAGTAGCCTGCAGTACTGCACTCTAACCACTGTGCCACTGAGGCTCTTCATCTTATTTCAGAGAGAAATAAGTCAGAGAAGAGTGCCCAGGAGAAGAACAGCAAACAAAATATACATACCATTTTCTATACTGAGAGTACAGGGGTTTTCAAATATATTTTTGATGTTGGGGCAGTCTGCCTGTGTTTTCCAGGTATTAGCAAAGGCAGCAGGGGTTCCTTCTGTCACCCCACTGATAGCTTTAAAGTCGTCTGTTTGGATGCCATTGAAATTTCCACAGAGGCCTGAAACAAAAATTAAAGACATCAATCCATTATTATTGTAACACTCTGCTTCTGTGTAGTGAGAATGACTCGTTGATTCACTTACCACATGTCTGCCCTTTGTGGCTTGGGTCCATGTATATAAACAGCTGCATCGTAGGGATAAATTGTATCACCAGCTGGAATCCAAATTTTGTATCGACCACAGTGAAGAATGAGGTAGGGTTGAAGATGGTGACATTGGCTGTAGAAACAAAACCATACAACAAAATAGTTTTCAAATGAAAGCATACATTTTATTCGCCACCAAGGGGACGAATCTTGTAACTGTTATTGTTGCTGCAGCACAAGCAAAGAGATGTATACATGGGCTTTGCATGATACTGACACAGCTTAGACTTTGCATCTCAATCATTAACTGATACAAATATAACCTAATAACTCTTAGGATTAACATTTCTTATTAACATAATTAGCAATTACTTGTGATCAATAAATTAGTACCTACTTCAAAAGAAAAGTCTAATATATCTATATCTATATATTACATATTACAATATTGTATTATATATTATAATATTATATACTATATTGCAATATATAATATTATAATAATATTATATCCAATAGCACTTGGCCAATAAAGAATTCTACTCCACTCCTCTCCACTCCATTTTGGTAACACATTTCTATCTATCTTTTCCTGTTTTAAACTGGACTTTTAACAATATTCAGTTCTTTCTTCCATCATTGTCAAATGATGAGGTATTATTTTATTCATACACCTAGACATTTTGCAGAATTTCAAATAAATTCCAGGGACAAGAGGTCAATCCTTAAATTGTGTAAAGTACTAAAATGGGGGGTGTCAAACTCAATTTCATTGAGGGTTGCATCAGAATTGTGTTTGACCTCAGGGGGCGGGGGGGGGGCATGGCCAGGGTGGGCATGTCCAGCTTGATCTCACTCATCGAGGCTCTGCTTTCGGCCACGACAGCCCTCCCAGGCTCTGTTTTTGGCCATGATGGCCTCCTGCAGCCTGCTGTCAGCAAAAACAGAGATCAGGAGGGCCACACGGCCTCCCCGAGCTCTATTTTCATTGGAAGAGGGTTGCAGGAGGTCATTGCAGCCCAAAATGGAGCCTGGGAAGACCATGCACGGTCCTCCTGAGCTCCCTTTTCACTGGCAGAGGCACCGCAGACCGGTCCTTCACTGTCTCCAGGGTGGGCCTGTGGGCCAGATCTAAGCACCTCATGGGCCGAATTTGGCCCCCAGGCCTTAAGTTTGACACCTCTATACTAAAATATAAATAGCAAAGAACTCACATGCTGAGATAGGCAGCTGAGTGAGAATCATATTCACATATACAGCTCCATTAGACTTGATCACAATCACCTGGGTAGTGAAAAATGAGAGATTAGAGCAAGCAAACTGAGAAAATATGTCTTTACTGCAGTATTTATTAAGCAAATACATATGTCCAACTCACACACAATGACTCAAAGCAGCATACAGCAATAAATTAAAACAAGAAACCAATTTCCTTTCCTTCCGTCATACTAGTTTTCATTAACTCTTTTAAGAAATACACTCTTGTTTTTTTTGCCTAAGTACATTTTTTTTAAACACAAGATATCTGTATAAAGAATCTATATCATATTTCATTTGTTGGAATGAAGATTCTGAGAATAACTGGTTGAATGAAGTTTGTGTACCAAAAATAAAAGTGCTGAAATATTTGGAACAGGTTTTAAGTGGGATGGGATAAATATTTTTCTGAGATTTTTTCAGAGTCTCATGTCCAGAGAATTCCTGTGCCATGGAGAAATTTTGTAAGGCAAATTTGAAGATAGGTACAAAAAGAAATAGAGAAAGAGAGGGCCAAGAGCTAGATTCCAGCAGAAAGATAGCTTAAACTAGGGAATAAGAACAAAAATGTGAGAAAAGGAAAAAAAACAGGAAAAGAGAATAGAAACAAGGAAAATAGGAAAGTGAAGTGGAGAAATCAATATTGAAGGCAAGAAGTTTGAAGGAAATAAACTTTGGAGCCAGGGTAGTTGGTGAAAAGTGATACTGAAATACTGTATTAAAAGAAAAAACACTCCAGAACCTGGATCCCCTGTAAAAAAAAAACAATGAACAGAACATTGTGCAAAGAAAATGAACTTCATGTGTTGTTTGTAATTGGAAAGTCAACATTTTATTCCATATTTCTGGTATAACTTTAACATTAATATCAAGAGCTCAACTGAGAACAAATTTTTGCATGCAAACTAAATCTATTTCTCACTGGGTCTGATGAAAAAAAAAATGTTCCTAAAACTATTGAGGGAGCATGCTTCTCATCCATTCTTGTTCTTCACACTTACTGTCTGTCCTCCATCAGTGCTTATAGCTAATCCTTTCAGGCATGTCTCAGTTTCTGTCATGCCACACTTTTGAATTTCTCCCAGAACAGCAAAGGTATTGCTATCACAGAGCTGGGGGGGGGGGGAAAAAGAGTATTAATAGTTTGCATTGTCTGAACCTATCATATCCCTTCTAAACTAATGACACTTTTAAAAATTTTTTAAAGAAAGGTAAAGGGGTCTATGAAAGCTTATACTCTGCTAGTTGTTGCCAAGTATAGAGGGAAGTTCTTATTCTGTGTCAAGGCCATTGATCCAGTGCTGTCTGAAGATATTTCTGCAGTCATGTGGCCCACATGACATTACTGAGCACTGTTACCCTCCCACCTAAGTGGTACCTATTTATTAACTGACATTTGCATACTTTCAAACTGCTAGGTTGGCAGGAGCTGGAGTGAGGTTGGGAACTCTCCCTGTCACATGGCACTCAGGGTCTTGAACATGGGCTGTCAGCTTTCCAGCTAACCAGCCAGTGTCTTAACCACTGAGACTACCATGCTGCCTGTCTTTTAAAACAATAAGAATAAAATCACCTGACTATTTTTTTGTAGGTCAGAATTTCCTTCCCACAATTAAAAGAATGAAGTACTTTAAAAGTTGCAATTTATGTTTTTTTTCCCCTCTTCTTTGAACAAAACATCACAATTTAACAAATAAAAAAAGGGGCAGCCATTAGACATGTATTGACCTATCCCCAAAATACCAGAAATCAGAACTGTGGTTGAGTATTTCATAATGTCTGATGATAACATTGGAATAATTATAATCTTTTTTTGTAAACTTTTGATGATGAAAAGATTCAATTATCCCAAGCACCAATTTCAAGTGCAATCAGGAAGCAGGGAGCCTTATTTCAATTGATATGAATAAAAATATGTGATAATTCATAGATTGGTAGAAAGGATGAACTACTCCCAGTAGCAATAATGCATGGGGGCGGGGGTTTCCTTGTTTTTGGTGTGACAACCCCACATAGTTGGAGACTGTATTATCACAATCATGTGGACAGGACCTATGGTTTGGGTCTCTTCTTTAGAATTGGTACAATTCTTTAGAATTCTTCTTTAGAATTGGCCTTTAACAGGAACTTTAAACTACAGTGTTGATGTTAAAGAATAGGAAGTCTCTCCAAAGTCCATCAATCTAATCAGGTAGCCATGTGCAGATTAGTCCATGCAGATTACCTTAGTGAGCATATAGCTACAGTCCCCAAAAAAGGAATAGTGTTTCTCATCAAAACTGGTGATATGGGAGCCACCTTCAACAGAACACACTCCAGGACATGAAAGGCTGATGCAAGTCCATTGTCCCCCAGTGCATGAACTGAAGTAAAAAGAGGAAGAGGACGATATTACCAACAAATTATTAAACAAAAAGTAGAGCAATCCTTATAATAAAAAAGGTTGGTTGTTGTACTATGCATATTCTCATGTTTTCAAGTAAAGCAGTAGCCTATGACCCTTGTTAATGAATAATTTTTTATTGGTATTCCAAATGGAGTGTTCACTCAGGATTTTATTGCAGTGTTATTTAATGTTTTGAAAGACCCACGGTATTAATGAACATAATAGTATAATTCCTATAATCCTGAAGGAAGTATTTGTATACAAGAGAGGATACTTTAAAAATCCTGTTTCATTTGATAAAGAAATTAATGTATTTGGAGTTTTCTAATTAAAGAAGCCTATTGGTCAGCCAAATTAGGCTTGTATTAATAGAATACCCATTTTTCCTCAATCCTTATCCAAATTCCACATCATGGATTTGAATGACAAATATACTCCAGTTTTTAAATTCTAGAACATTCTCTGGATGTTTGCTAAAATTTATAGAAGCTTTTTCTTCAGTATACGATTGCTGACAATAATAGTCTTCCAGCCTTTGATAAATGGGACACAGTAGCATTTAGCATCTGAAGGAAGATTGGTGAATTTTTAAACTTTAAAAGATGTGGTTATAGATAATCATCTCTGAAAACAGAGGCTATTTATGCCCACAAAATGCATTACAGCATTTTGCAGAATGTTATAGGCTACATTTTAGTTCAGGGGTGTCAAACTCGATTTCATTGAGGGCTGCAGCAGGGTTGTGTTTGACTGCGGGGCGGGGGGGGCATTTTGATGGGGTCAGGGTGGGCATGGCTACCTCAACATGACTCATGTAGGAGGCACCTGTGGTGGCTCAAGGGCAGTGGTGAGATTCAAATTTTTTTTACTATTGGTTCTGTGGGCATGGCTTGGTGGGCATGGTTTGGTGGGCATGGACATGTAACTGGGTGGATGTGGCTTTTTTGCTTTTTTTCAGCCACCCCCACCCATTTTTTAGGCCTTCTGGGCCTCAGAGGAGCCTCGGGGGGGGGGGGGGGGCATTTTTGCTTCCCGAAGGCTTGTCTGGGGCTCAGGAAGGAAAAAATGGAGAGGGGGGGGTGAGCCCCTCCCTCCATTTTTTGCCTTCCTGGGCCTCAGCAAGAGGAATCCTGGCACAGCTGATAGTATGAACAGCTGATTGTCGGCAGGGGGAAAAAAGAAATACCTTAAGTGGTGAGTGGCAGGTGGGCGGGGTGAGCGAGCATCAGATGGGCAGGGCAAGCAAGACAGTTCGGCGACCCATGTCAAATCCTTGCTACCGGTTTGCCTGATCCAGTGTGAACCAATTGAATGCCACCACTGCTCAAGTGCTCTGCCAGCAAAAACTGAACTCTGTTTTTGCTGGCAGATCATTGCAGGAAGCCATTGCAACCGAAAACAGAGCTTGGGAGAGCCACACACGGCCCTCCCGGGCTCCATTTTTTCTGGCAGAGGCACCATAGGCTGGTCCTTCACTGTTTCCAGGGAGGCATTGTGTGCCAGATCTAATCACTCTGCAGGATGGATCTGGACTCCGGGCCTTGAGTTTGACACCCCTGTTCTAGGTTAAATGCTCAGAAATATCGTCAATGTCATATAAACAGAGTATCATGCAATGGGATTTCCTATTATGTTCCTCCTCCTCATGGTTTTCCTCTTCAAAACCTTTCTAGAGGACCTCCAGTTTGGCAAAGCACATTTGGGGAAAACTAATGTAGGAATGGAGAAAAAGTGAAAAATGCATTCAACTGGGGTTTGCTTCTTTTGGCAGATGAACATCTTCAGAAATCTTTTTCAAGTCATATAAAGTAACAATAGGTCTTATCATCACTAACAATGAATGCAGTCAACTATATGCATGCCTGATGAAGAGCAGCCAAAGAGATCAGCAGACCTGATTTTCAGTTATTTGCCTATTTACACAATACATGATGAGCTTTTTAAGACACTCAGGGTTCAAGAAACTATTTGGAAGTATTTGCTTGCCACCATGTAAATCAAATAGAATTATGATATTTCTAACAATGTGTTTCCCAGGCCTTTGATTAAGATAGAGTGAGTCCCTTGTTGGGTACATTCTTATTAATGCCTAAATATTTGGTATATATTGAATTGATATGGCGATATGTGAGCCAACCAGAATAAGCTGGAGATGGGAAATTCTTAAATTAACTAAATTTCATAATGAACCGTTCTACAGTCAAAATGTGCCTATAGATTTATTGATATCTATAATTTGTGAAGCTTTTAATTTTTGAAGAAAAATGAATCAACTTTTTTTTTAAAAAATCACTATATTTTTCAACTTTGTGAAAAACTCTTTTGTAATTAAGAGCTATTTTTGTGCATCCACACAGCAAGAATTTGTAGCAGGGGTGGGATTCAACTTTTTTAACAACTGGTTCTGTGGCTGTAGCTTAGTTTGTGGGCGTCCCTTGGTAGTCATGTGACTAGGTGGATGTGGCTTGGTGGTCATGTTATTGGCTGGGTGTGACCAACTCAGTATCACTCACATCGAGGCACGCATCTCCTCGCCTGGCCTCTCATGACTGTGGGGATGCTGCAACAGTTGTAAGTGTGAAAAATGGTCATAAGTCACTTTTTTCAGTGCCATTGTAACTTTGAATGGTCACTCCACACAAGCAAAGTACCAGCAAAGGAAGGGAAAAATAACTGCAGAGACATTCCTGAGACAGGAAGGCTAGTCCTGCCAAGAATAAGGGTTAATAAGAGTAATAAGGGTTAACGGAGAGGCAGTTTCTGTAAGCAACACCAGAATGTTTCCTTCCTGCCTTCCTTACAGGATTAGGCCAGTAATTTCTTCTAACAACCGGTTCTCCAAACTGCTTAGAATGTTAACAACCGGTTCTAGCGAATAGGTGCAAACTGGTAGAATCCCACCCCTGATTTGTAGATGGATTCAGAAATAACAGCATGCAAAGCAACAAGGAATTCATGTTCAAAAAAGAAATCCCTTTATGTGTGTAGTTAAACATTATTTCACAATCTTGTGACATTCTTAGCATTATTAGTTGTGCCCAGTTTATTCTTAACAAGCCAATCTATCAAATAATATGCATCTTTCTCTTTCCATCACTAATAAAACATTATTAAATCACAGAATATTATTATTCTCACCATGAAATACATTGGGAGGAAAAAGAAGTACCAGGAGCGTAAGAATCCCCATTGTAAGTGCAGTAACAATCTGAACTGGGGATGCAGCCAGAATTGTTAATGTCATCGAACACAGTGCCTAAACAAAAAATAACCAATGTATGTTATTCATGCTCATTTCTATTTTTAAGAAGTATGAGTACATTATATCATTCCCAGTAATAAATCTCCTTGACTCTTGTCATCAATATAATGTGTTATCTTTTTCCTTCAATACAGGAAAGCACCTGAACTATTTCCATATCTGGAGCAGGGTTTCAGATGACACCGAAGCATGTTCTGATGTTATGGCAACCATGAATCAACCGGTTTTCACTGGAAACCATGGTGTGTGGAAAAAGAAGCCATGTTCTTAATAAAAAACCACTCTTTATAAAGCTTTTCCTCTACACCATCAGATTTACAGATGCTGTATTTCTGATGAAAATACTCCCTCCTTCCCTCCCTATCAGTAGTATCTCATGGAATTTTGCCCTTAATTGCTATAAATGTGGTTTATGGAAAGCTGTTAAAGAAACAAATCTCTACCATGTTCATAAAAGCCAGCATCAAGACAAAAGTACAAGGTAAAAATATTTTTATGAGGGTGAACTAGATTTTTATGCTGCCGTGTAGTAAATTCTAGCAAGAAAATACACATAAAGTTGTTTTTCTTGAGCAGATTTAATTTCATTCTAGCACTCAGCCAATTTCCTTGATCTGTTAAATCAAGTCAATTCTATTTTGTAAATTCAATAGAATTGTAGATCAAGAAACAGAATTAAAATTAAACTACAAAACATCCAGCACAAAAGTTTGTTTTATCTTCAGATATATAAATCAATCAATAACTGTTTAGAATTCAAACAATTTAAATTTTTCTTCCCCCCCCCCAATGCCTTTTATGTACATTATCTTTACAATGCTTCAAATCCAATCAAATGAAAGTCAACTATTCATACCGAAGACAAAAAAGGTGTTTTATTTTTATCCTTTAAATGGTCCTTCCTGCAAGAGCACTGAAATATCACGTTTTTTACACATGTCAGAGAAGAGCAAACACTTTATTGCAAACTTGTTTTCCTTTCCATGATATCTGGAATGAAATTCCATGTAGCGACTTCTATAACGAAGAAGATACTTCTTTTTTTTAATACCAAAAGATACTTCCACCAGGCAAGTCTATAAACAATTGAGCATGGATACTGACTTACCGGAGGGACAGAAACAACCATCTATACAGTGATCTTCACATAACTGGGACTGCTCAAAATTGGTACAAGTGTCAAAACAAGGGGATCCACATTCTCGATGCTGCATGTTGAAAGGACAAGACTTGGCTGAAAATAGAAATGAACAATGAGACATTAGAAACCCCATTTATACTTGTTTTCCTCTCTCTGGAGATAAAAATACCTTAAGCAGAATGTTGGCAATATATTTTAATCCTCAGAGGGAACCAATTTCTGGGAAGCAAATATTAAGAAGCTGAGTTTATCATCAGTCTGGAAAAAAGAAGATGTGTTGTACGGAAAGGCAAGGGGAAACATGGTAATGCTCTTTTTTATTTTTTTATTTTTTTTATTTTTTATTATATATATATATTTTATTTTTTTATTTTTTATTTTTATAAATTTTAATTGGGGGGTGGAGCTGGCGTCACGACGATATGGCATGCGATCTTGGAGATCTGAGATCGCTGCCGATATCTTTCCTCCTGGACGATCCTATTGGATCTAAACCGTCCCGAATAGATGGTGAAAGTGAAGGGCGCATCCTGTCAATCCCAGGGACACTGCAAAGTCCCTGGTAGATCCAGGAGAAGCTCTTCTTGCCAGCGGCAAAGAGGCAGCCATTAAAGCTGCTGAAGTTGGGACAGCTCCGAAACGAAAGAGAACAGAAAGAGAGAGTGTGCCGGTTTGGTGAGAACTTTTTCTTTATTCTAAGATTTGAAAGGACACCCTAAGGAAAAGAAAGAATCTGTAAAAGTTTTGAGAGAAGTGATTAAGCAGCAATTTTAAACAGGAATGTCAAAGTAATGTTTTTTTCCTCATTGCTGGATTTTCTATACATGATTTTATATTTTGAAACTGTACTGGTTTTTTCTTTTCCATCTATTTTTTTCTCCTTTTTGATTTTGTAACCATTTTAGGCTAGAGTCTCCTTTTAGTTATTTCTTTTCTTTTTAAATATCTTTTTCTTTTTTTATTAATTTTTATTGCATTTTGTTTGCAAAAAGAGGGGGAAAGTGAAACCAAAGAAACTTTGTAACACTGCCAACTAGAGGCTTGGGAATATTCTATTTCTCTTGTGACCAGACAAAGCTGAGAAAGAAAGAACTGAGACTTTTTTTCAAGGACATTGCTATTTGATAAGATAGAGGGAAGAGCATGGGAGAGTATTATTGCAAGTGCTCTTCTGGGTTTCTATCAACAGCTGGAGTCTGGTGTTGAAGTTTATAGGAAAAGAAAAGGTGATAAGTTTCTGGAGAAAAGTGTTAAAACAAGATAACTAAACAAAGTGCAGTGTGTTTTCTTGATATTTCCTTAGCTGTGCTACCCCTCCTCAACAGTTTACTTTTTGAAATAGCTATTTGGACTTTTAGTTCTTTGGAACTTGTCTTTGCTTTTTTTCTCTCTCTTTATGCTTGTCTTTGGAAGTTAATTTTTTATGTTTCTTTTTTATTTTAAAAGAAAAGTTTTAGTATTAACGATTCCCTTCCTTTTCTTTTGAAGGGAGTAGCCTTTTTTTTCCTTTTTCTCTTTTTGCCTTTCTGGTACTTTTGTTTTTCCATCTACCTCCAATACTGTTTTTTTCTTCCTTTTTATCTTCCTGGGTTTTTTTCCCTCTTATGCAGCCTTTTATATTTGAGACCTCTTAATTGGATTAAGGTTTTGAAGGACCTGAAGAATTTTTCCTTTTTTTAAGCTTTTTATTCTTCACTTTTCCGTCTTTTTTAGGATTTTACAACTTTTTCTCCTTTGTGTATGTTTACGGTTTTTTCCCTCATTTTTGAATTTTCATTATTATCTAACTAATCGATTGGATTAAGGTATACAAGAACCTGAAGAAATTCTTTTTTCTTTTTTTATTATTATTACTATTTGGCTTCTTTTTCCCTACTATTTTTATTTGGAATCGCAATTGGTTACTTCACAATTGGATTAAGGTTTAGAAGAACCTGAAGATTTTGAATTATTTGAAATGAGTAGGAAATTTACAGCTACTGATTCTTCAACTTCTACTTCCTCCTCTCCACCATCTGGAGGACAACGTTCAATACAGACAATGTTAAGGCAAGAGAAAGAACAAGAACAAGAAAAAGAAAAAGTGACCCTGCAGATGATTATGCAAGGAATTCAAAACATTCAAACAAGATCAGAGAATATTGAAAAGAGAATAGAGAACATTGAACAAAGAACAAAGAACAGGGAAAACTGATGAAAAAGTCGAGAATATCCAACAAATGATGATGAAGTATGATGAGAGACTACTAAAAATTTAAGAAGATAAAGAGATAAGAAGATTGGAGACATTGATACCAGATTAACTGTGGTTGAACAAGATAAAAGTGGTATGCTGAGATGGGAGATGGACAGATCAGAATTTTATCTCAGATTCCAAAACATAGAGGAAGAAAAAGGACAAAATCTAGCTGAGATAATGATAGAAATATTGGCTGAAGCTTTGTAAATAACTGAAGAGAAGTTGATGGATGGAATAGATGAGGTTTAACGAGTCTTCACAAGATACGCAATGAGAAATAGCCTACCAAGAGAAGTTCACATCAGATTTACAAAGAAAGCCATTAAAACGCAAATATTGCAAGTGGCAAGAGAGAAAACATTGAAATATAAAGATAAGGAGATTGTGGTTTTGAAACAAGTAACCAGAAGAGTGAGAGAGATGAGAAGAGAATACCGATTCTTGACCAAATTGCTACTTAAAAAAGAGGTGAATTATAGATGGTTGATTCCAGAAGGTTTAATGTTCACATGGCAAGAACAGAGATACAGAATTGATTCAATTGAGAAAGCTGAATCATTTTATACAGAATTTTTCAGAGGGAAAGAGGAAGAGGCAGAAAAAGAAATTTCACTAATTGAATTCCAAGAGGACTGCCAAATGATGACTAAAAAAGAGGAAGGTGCAGTAGGTGGAAAGGAGGAAGCCAAAGGACAATGTGAACCAAGATCCACGAGAGCTGCCAAACCTAATTATAAAATATAACCATGGAAGAGAAAAAATTGATTACAATTAATATAAATGGACTTAATTCAGCCATTAAAAGAAGGAAAACTTTCCATAAATTAGAGAAATTAAAATTTGATATAATCTGCCTACAAGAAGTACATATTAAAAAGCAATATGAACAATTGTTGATACAGCCAAAAGTAGGGAAAATATTTACCTCCTTGACACAATGCAAGAAAAGAGGAGTGGTTTTATATATTAAAGAGACCATTCCAGTGAAATTGGTTTATACTGATGACGACGGAAGAATACTAATGGTGGAAATAATGGATAATAATACGAAAACACTCCTGATTGCAATCTATGCCCTGAATGACAAACAAGAAGAATTTTATAAAAAATTACATATCAAAATAATTGAACTGGACTATGCTAATATAGTTATGATGGGAGATTTTAATGGAATTGTAGACAACAAACTGGACTATACAGCACAGAAAACAATAAAGCAAAACAGAAAGACTCTCCCTAAATCCTTTTTTAATATGGTAGATGAAATAAACTTAAAAGATACATGGAGAGAAAGAAATGCTAAAACTAAACAATATACCTTCTACTCAAATAGACACTTATCATGGTCCAGAATAGATATGATATGGATGTCAACAGAATTGTTAACTAATATTCAAGAAATAAATATTGAAACAAGTACTTGGGCAGATAACAATCCAATGACAATTAAATGGAAAGGACAAAGAAGAAGATCTAGATGGATGCTAAATAATACTATTTTAAAGGAAAAAGACTTCACACAGTGGATTGAGAAAGAACTGGCTTTTTTTTTTAGAGAAAACAAGAAAGAAGATACATCAATCCAGAATGTATGGGATACAATGAAGGCATATGCTAGAGGCTTGATAATAGACTATACAAGGAAAAGAAATACCATGAAAAGATTAGCCTCTAAGGCATTAGAGGATGAGTATAAAGGACTTGAAAAAGAGCTACAGAAAATGCCACAGAAAAAGGACATTAAGTTAAAAATGGATATAATCAAACATAAAATGGGTCTAATAGAAAAAGAAGAACTAGCACAGAAAATTAGAGGTGCTAAACAGAATTACTTTGAAGATGCAAATAAACCAGGTAGATGGTTAGCATATAAATTGAGAAAGGAGAAAGAATCAAGGAAAATATTGCAATTAATTGATGATCAAGGCCAAGTTTGCTATGGTAGTAAAGAGAAGAAGGAAATCATTCGAGACTATTATGGGAAACTATACACACAAGAGAATATTGATGAGGAAAGAGTTAAACAGTACCTACAGAATGCTAAGTTACCCCAGATACCTAAGGAGATTGAGACAATGTTAGAAAGCAATATAATGATGATGGAGTTAACGGAAGCACTCAAGAAGCAAAATAATGGAAAGGCACCAGGCCCAGATGGACTTCCGGCAGAATTTTACAAAACATTACAAGAATCGTTGAATCTTCCACTGCTAGAAGTTATGAATGAAGTTATGTTAAAGAGGATACCTAAATCATGGTCAGAAGCTTATATTACACTTGTTCCAAAAGAGGAGGCCGATCCATTACAAATCAAGAACTATAGACCTATTTCCCTACTAAACGCAGATTGTAAAATTTTTCCTTCAATATTGGCATTATTATATCTACAAAATGATTTTAGGATAGATTTGGGATGATAATATGAATTGTCACAAAACAAATTAAGTAAAATATGATTATTTCCTAAAGCATGAATGAATAAAAGTATAGTCAAATGATTGATTAATCATGATGCTAATGTATTTAATATTGGATCGAAAATACGAGATCATATACAATGTAATTGTAATTGAAGACTATGAAATGGAAGCACAAAACAATTTGTAAACCAACCGGCACACTGTATGTACATAGATGGAACATGGCCTGATGTTTTTATGTTTTGTTTGTGTATGTTTGTTTTAAAAACCAATGGTAATGCTCTTTAGATATATAAAACTGAGGAAAGGCTTCTTTTTTAAACAAACCTTAAAGGCTGAATCTAATGGGTTATTTTTTTAAAAGGTATATTAAACATTAGCACCAGCTTCTTACTGATAAGAACTGTTCAAAACTGAGCTAAATCCTGGTTGGAGATATTTTATTTTATTTATTTATTTATTTGATTTGCCAATTGTTTACAAGATAGTAAGTATAAGTGTATACATAGTTGTATATGTATACACATACACAGAGTTCCTGCATATAACCCTCACTAAACTCTGAATATCCCATTGGTTAGCTTAATCAGCTGAAGTTGCTTCAGTGATATTTGAATGTTGTAGGTTGCATCTCTTTGAACTGAATCTGGATCAGAGGTGGTATTCAGCAAGTTCTGACCAGTTCTGGAGGACCGGTAGCAAAAATTTTGAGTAGTTCAGAGAACTGGCAAATACCACCCCTGACTGGCCCCGCCCCCATCTATTTCCTGCCTCCCGAGTCCCAGCTGATCGACTGGGTCTTCTTTTGTTGCCCTGCACAGGAGAACAAAGCTGGAAAGCAGGTTAGTGGGGTGAGGAGGGAAAGGGGATTTTACAGTAACCTTCCCCTGTCACACCCACCAAGCCACACCATGCCCACCAAACCACGCCCACAGAACCGGTAGTAAAAAAAATTGAATCCCACCACTGATCTGGATTTTCCTGTTTAGGCATAGGATTGATCTTGATGGCCTCTAACCGCCTTATCTAGGATTCTATTATACACTGATTGCAAAGAGTTCTCCATAGGAATGCAGTTTTCTTTTGGAACTAATACTTACGACAGAAATCTTCTGTTCGCCATTCAAGTGGTTGCCCACCGGCATGGGAGCATTGCCTGGAGTACTCAGCAAAGGTGTTACAGATGCAGACTTCAGTCACAGATGGATCACATTGGCATATGTCTTGTATGCAAGCATCAATGTAGACACGCACATCAACCAATGCATTGCAAGCTTCAAATGCATTACCAGTCAGTATATTTTGGCACAGAGTGGTCTAGAAAAAAAGAAATTAGTGTTGCTAAGATATGAACATGACATTATGTATAAACACAGGAAGCTACTACACTATTATTGATCTGCATTGCTAATGTTTACAAGCTTCTTTTTTTTTTATTTTCAAGATTTTACTGTTTTAATTGTCTTCTGCTTGCTCTTAAGAGGGAAGAAGAAAAAAAAGAAGAGGGGGGAGGAAGCAGCCAAATTGCCTTATAGAGAATGAAATGAAATACAAATCCTTACAGCCTGACTGCATTGGGTTCCAGGTAAAGGGACAGGATCTTCACATTGTTCTGTGGGTCCGTCCATCTTCTGCATGTTTCCAAACTGCAAAGGAGTCAGCTGGACATCTGCAATAAGTAGAAGGCCATTTTAGCATGTTCACAAAGCAGGATTACAAAAAAAGAGAGACCTGTTTAGACACAGGCTGCAACTTTACTATATTCCCTCTGTGTGAAATAAATCTGGCAAAGGGGTCCAAGAAAGATCATCAGTCTTCATGATATGAAACCAAACTGGTTCTTGCCAAGACAATGAGGTTAATTAGGCCAATCTCTCCTTCCCATTATGAAGAGTTAAAGTCCCCTAGTTTTGAATATCACTGAGCAGTGGTGTTTCAGGAACAGTCAAGATCAGAGGTCTCCAAATTTGGCAACTTTAAGACTTGTGGACTTCAACTCCCAGCTGGCTGGAGAATTCTGGGAGTTGAAGTCCACAAGTCTTAAAGTTACCAAGTTTGGGGACCTCTGATCAAGATGGTAGCAGTAACTACAGGTCTGAAGCTTTACCCTTTTTATTGCCATCTTGACTTGTTTTTATAAGGCTTCCTCTTCACAGACCCCCCACCCCCGGCCAATGAGTCCTCTTGAATTTACTTATTTTATTTATTTATTTGATTTGATTTGTCAATTGCTTACAAGATAATAGGTATAAGTATTGTATAAACATAGTTATGAATACATGGATACATATAAGAAAAATAAAAGAAACAATAAGACAGGGACGGTAGGCACGTTGGTGTGCTTATGCACGCTCCTACAGACCTCTTAGGAAAGCGGTGAGGTCAGTAGTCTAAGGTTAAAGTCTAAGGTTAAAGTTTTTGGGGTTTGGGGAAGAAACCACAGAGTCAGGTAGAGTATTCCAGACATTGACCACTCTGTTGCTGAAGTCATATTTCCTGAAATCAAGTTTGGTGCAATTAACCTTGAGTTTGTATCTATTGTTTGCTCTTGTATTGTTATGGTTGAAGCTGAAGTATTCATTGACAGGTAGGACATTGCAATGTATGATTTTATATACTATACTTATATCGGACCAAAGGCAGTGTAGTTCTAGGTTTTCTAGGTGCAGAATTTCAAGTCTGGTGGCATAAGGTATTCTGCAATGAGTAGAGGAGTGGAGAACTCTTCTTGTGAAATATTTCCGGACTTTCTCAACTGTGTTAATATCAGATACGTAATGTGGATTCCAGACTGATGAGCTGTATTCAAGTATTGGTCTAGCAAATGTTTTGTATGCTCTAGTTAGTAGTGTGACATTACCAGAGAAAAAGCTACATAGGATTAGGTTAATAGCTCTTAATGCCTTTTTGGCTATGTAGTTACAGTGGGCTCTAGCACTTAGATCCTTTGAGATGAGTACTCCAAAGTCCTTGACAGAGTTTGGATCATCAACAAGGTCTTGACTATTCAGCTTGTATTTTATTTTCTGATTTTTTTTGCCAATATGTAAGACAGAGCATTTATTTGTTGAGAAGCATCAATCTTTATCTTATGCCTATGCATTAATTCTCTTCTAAGTTGTCATTACAGGTTGTACTTGTTTAGTAGCTACATGCAAGTGTCTTCAAACTTGGCAAGTTTAAGACTTGTGGACTTCAACTCCCAGAATTCCTGAGCTAACATGACTGGAGGAGGAATCCTGGGAGTTGAAGTCCACAAGTCTTCAAGCTGTCAAGTTTGAAGACCCCCTGAGCTACAGTTAGGATTCAATCATTAAGCTAAGTGAAACCTGGGCTGTGACTATGATCTTGCTTCAGCTTTCTTTTGCTTTACAAACCTGCCCAATTCATATATTGGGTGACCTTTAATTATGACTGTGATGAAAAAGTAACATTGCAGCCAGTCCTTGAATTTAGCTCAATATTTCTCATTCTCAGTAACTTTAAAACATGTGGACTCCAATTCCCAGAATTCTCCACCAGCATGCGGTAGAGAAACACATATTAATCTGAGCTGTAACTCCATGCAAGAGCAACCCATTATTTTCTTTTCCTGGCACATCGCTGACCACATTAAATTTTACAGCCTTCTTTCCAGGCTGAAGTGAAAAACAGATATCTAGGTTTAAAAGGTGCATGGAATTTCTACATTAGTTCTGAAAAAGAAAATAATAAAGAAACAAACCTAGGATCCTTTCATATTTGGAAGTGGTTATTTCAACAATCTTAATCTTTTGTATAACATTATACAGTTGCATAGTTTAATGCTGTCAAACCAATTATCTTTCAGTGGTATTGTCAAAATAAATCCTGTTCTAGAAATAAATTGAGATGTGACCCCAAAAGCAATAAAAACAGAAATCTACTATTTTTGCCACTTACTGTTGGAAATGAATTCATTGTAGGTTGCAATTTGATTGAAATCTCCACAAAGGCCACAAGTTTGATTAGCATATTTTTCATTTAGTTCCAACTAAAACAAGACAAAATAATGTAACTATAGTGAAGATCTAGAGTTTTAAGAATGAAAATTAAGAGATGACAACAGGCTATGTACAACATTGGTAAACAGGTGTAGAGATGAGTATGTGTAGAGATTAAAATGAAGTTCATTTGGATTAGCTTTAAGATCCGATAGTGGATTTCTGGTTTTTTTTCTTATTTTTGAATTCCCATTACATCCAACTGTTGCCTTTTACTGTCATGTTAAATCATGGTGTTGTACAAAATAAACAGGCCATTGCACCCTTTTCCTATGGTACAATTAAAACTGAAGATAGAAAGGTTTTGTTCTGATGTCTCTTTGAGCAATAAGTGGTATTTAATATTAATTATGACTTATTTTAGCAGGCGTACTTCATAAGCCATTAGTATTTTGGTTAACATCAAACTTCTTCAATTTATTAATCAAATTAATTAAATATACTGCCCATCTCACCTGAGTGACTCTGGATGGTTTACAAATAAAATCCATTACAGTCAAAGAGACTTGCTTTTCATCATAAGCAAAGTTTAAAAACAGTATTAAAACAAAGGTAAAACTGTAATAAAAGATAGGGGGTTCAATCTTGAACCCTATGCCAGGGATCACAACATATCTCCCCTACCTAGCCAGGTTGGCTGAATCAAAGTAATTGAGACAAGATGATCCCATGCTCTGAAGGGCTTTAAAGGTAATAATCAATACCTTGAATCGGACTCAGAAGCAAACAAGCAGCTCACATAACTGAGGTGTCACATGTGCAACTCCTAAGGACAGCCAGAACTGCACATGCCACCTCATTCTTCACCAGCTACAGCTTCTGAACACTTTTCAAGGATAGCCACATGTAGAGGACATTGCAGTAGTCCATACAGGGGATTACCAGGGCATGAGTGACAGAAATAAATGCTTCTCAGATACAGATAATCAGAGGGACCTTATAGATCATTTAGTCCAACCTCCTGCCCAAGCAGGAGACCATACACCATTTCTGACAGATGGGAGTCCAATCTCTTCTTGAAATTAGGGAAGGGATGCAACTGGTACATAACAGAAAGTTGAGCAAAGGCCTCTTTGCAATGATTGCTACCTGCTCCTCAAGCAGGAATCTTGAATCCAGGAGGACCCTCAGATTATGTACTTAAAATGAAACAAACCTTCCCAAACATTTCCTTGAAGTCATCCCAGAATAGAAGAGAAAGGACAGCCCTCAATGTTGCTGTGCCTCATTCATCGGGGCATAAACTAAATTTATCAACATGTCTGAATATTGTCAGACACCAAATCAAGTGAGACAAGTGCTGAAGAATCAACAAGAAAAGGGATAAGAAATAAATGGAATGAGACTGAAGGTAGTCCTCTACTAACCATGGCAGCTAAGTTTAAACTTGGTCATTACAGTCATTACTAAGCCAGCCACATGACCATCTTGCTCAAGTGGCTGCAATCCAAGATCTACCTGTTGCAGTCATTAAGCAACTGTGCATGGGGTGCCTTGGAAACTGGAGGAGGCCTTGGGAGGCACCCACCAGCATCTGAAAATCCTCTCTCTGCCCCACCACACCCATTGTGGTGCTCCATCCTTTATGGGAGTCTTTCTGTCACTTCATTCCATCCTTCATGCAGGGCCCATTCTTGTGATGGTTTGGAAGGCTCTTCACTGAGTTATGTCATCTGAAGAGAGGAGACCTTCCAAATCATCATGAGAACAATGGCATTTGCTAGTATTTTCTCCTCCTGAGACAGGAGAAAGGTTCTGATGCTCAAGATCAGGAGTCAAAATTCATTTGATTCTTTGCTTAAACGTTAATGAGGTTGCTGAGCAATTCTTTTTTTTTTTTTGAAAATTTTATTTAGGTTTTCACAAAAAAAAACCATAATATAAATAAAACATCTTTTTTCGAAAATAGCATGGTCCCGGGTTACACTTCTTTATACAGACACAAACTCAATTTCATGCTCACTTTTATGTTCTATTCCATATCTTATTATTGTTTTACATTTTCTACATAGTTTTTCTCCTCTCTTAATTTTCTCAATTTTATTTTAATTATCTCATCTTAATTCAAATCATTATATTTATACTTTTGTCTGTCCTGTTTCAATTTCATATTTTCTTTTCTCATTTAACAGATTTTCTCCTGTAATTACTAATTGGAGTATGACACCTTTATATCTTTTGATTTTATCCATTCAACTCTTATTTAAGCTTCAATATATACCTTGAGGTTATAACATTCAATATAATACATATCTTCCAATCAAATTCTGCTTGGTACATTCTTAAAATACACACTATATTTTTAAAAAGTGATTCTAAATATATATGATTAAAACACTCATTCCATTCCAATTCAGTTCTATCATTAATATTCATTAAAGTCTTAACATCTTTAACATTTCTTTTCAATTAAATATCATACTTCCTTGGGAACACTTATAAGCTTTCCGTAATTGATTTTTTGATTTTTTTTAAAGCATTAAATAATTAAAATGCTCCCATCCTTTCCTAATTCAATTCTCTCATTCATTTTATTTCATTTATTTATTAACAAACATTTCACTAGATTACAATAACTATTTTATCCATCATTTTAATCATACATTGTTTCATATTTTCTAAAATTATTTCTATTTCTAATATAACAATACTATCTTATGTACCTTTGTAGAATCCCTTTTTCAATTAAATTTTCACCCATTATCTCTAAATAGGCCCTGTTTCTCCATATCTTGTTTCTGTCCTTTATAACTTCTTTTCCTTTCCTTCTTCCCTCTCTTCTTCTCCTTCCCCTTTTTACCCCCTTGTCTCTCTACTTCTAATTCTCTCTTCTGTATTCCCCTCTTCTGTTGCTTTCTAATATTATACTTATTTTTCAAACTATGCTTCCTTTTCTTGGTTGCTTTTTCAAATCTTAAACTTTTCATTCTCTTTCCCCCCTTTCCTTTCTTTTCCCCACATAAAATTACTTGTTCATTCAATATGGCTTCTTCTTTGTCCCAGTCTTCTTGTTCTGCAGGCATTTCTTGTTGTTTCTCATAGTTCCAGATCTCCATTTCTAAGAATTGAAATACAAAGCCAAAAGAACCTCTCCCTTCTTGTGCATCTTCTTTGTACTTTTTAAGTTCCATTTTCAGTTCATCTAAATGTAGTGCCATTTTAAACACTTTTAAACAACCACCTGATTGATTTTAGTCATTCAAATGCAATAACCAAAAATCCAGAAATCAACAAATAATCCAAATACTCCCAAGCTGTTTCTTCATACTTCTTTTTACCATTTCTCTTCCTGGGGTTCTACTATTCTGTTGCCAAGTTTCAGTTTGGATGTATCTTTTAGAAGTCTTGTTGAAATTTTGCTGTAAATTCCTTTTAATTCCAGGCAGTCTCCTCCCTTTTTTTCCAAATCCTGCCTTTTTATTCTTTTTCTCTCCTTTCCTGCTTTTAAAAACTTTTAAGTATCCAGAAATCTTTATTGACATTTTATTTTCAGCTTAAATGCCTATTGATGTCAAAGTGGATTTTATTTTCCAATTTCTTATTTAAATCTCTTAGCTGTCAGTATAGGCAAAGGGAGAGAACAAAAATACCCCAAATCCTTTCCCTTTTCACTTTCCTTCACTGCTTCAAAGTCTTCTTTGAGAACAATGTTACTTTTCTTTTTAGTTTAAATTCCAGGGTACCTTAGTTGTTGCTTTTGCAATTTAACCCAGTCAGCCAAAACTTTCTCTTCTTATCTTCCTCCTGCACATTCTTTTCCGGTCGAGTTCTTCTTTGAGGTGGCCATTTCTGACCACCGCTGCAACCGCCTTCGGGAAAGGGAGTAATGGCCAGCTGAGGAGGAGAGATGCGGCTCTCCTCAACCCTGCTGGCAGTCTCCCCCCTCTTCACCACCTCTACGGGGTGGCTTAGCCCCGAAGCCAGCCAGCTCGGGGCGCTCCAGCAGCTAGCACGGATCGAAACCGCGCATGATCGCGGTTTCGGTCTGTCCGCAAAGAGGCTCAAACCAAAAGTCCTAGGTTGCTGAGCAATTCTGTATGTTCTTCATATTTCATTCTAGTCATATAACCACTGTGCCCATTTAAAAAAACAAACACCAAGACAGACGCTTGTTTCTAAATTAGGAAAATATTTTGTGGTGAGAGCAAAACCAGTAAATTGGTTACAGAGACCCTTGAGTTAATGGATTACTCTTTAATTCTGAAAGAAATAAAAAATAAAAACTTCCACAATAAAGAATGCCACATTAATTGGTATTCTCCCTACATTTCATTAAAAGACAGCTTTATTTAAATGCTGTACCATTAAGGCTGCTAGTTTTGGGCTGCAAAATTTGACTAAATGACATCAGTGAGATGTGGAAAACCTTTCTGTTTTTGCTTACATCGAGTGATCATCCAGATTTTTAAAACTTAGATCTGATAGTCCTTAGCCTCATAGCTATATTTTCAGTATCTAATTGTGCAAGCAAAGATATTTTCAAGAACAGACATGCAATTAAGAACATCAATTAAATAAGGAAGCAATCAATATGTATAGATCACTTATATTGGACTAGATTTATATACAATCAAATCAGGGTATCAAAGCCAATTGCAAAAATCAGTACTTCTTGAGAAACATTTGGGAAGATACAGCTGTTTGTGGAGGCAACTCCTAAACAGTATATAAATTTAATAACTTATTATTCTTATCCATCATGTCAAGAACGTTTAATTGCAAAATAACATCCACAGACACTTTTTTTTGTCTATAGTTTTCTAATACATAACATAGAAATACCACCAGGGGTGGGATTCTACCAGTTCACACCTACTCGCTAGAACTGGTTGTTAACGTTCTAAGCAGCTTGGGGAACTGGTTGTTAGAAGAAATTACTGGCCTAATCCTGTAAGGAAGGCAGGAAGGAAACATTCTGGTGTTGCTTACAGAAACTGCCTCTCAGTTAACCCTTATTACATTCTTGGCAGAACTAGACTTCCTGTCTCAGGAAGATTCCTTTGCTGGTACTTTGCTTGTGTGGAGTGACCATTCAAAGTTACAATGGCACTGAAAAAAATGACTTATGACCATTTTTCACACTTACGACTGTTGAAGCATCCCCACAGTCATGAGAGACCAGGTGAGGAGATGCGTGCCTCGATGTGAGTGATATTGAGTTGGCCACACCCAGCCAATAACATGACCACACCCACCACCTAAGCCACGCCCACAGAACCAATTGTTAAAAAATTTGAATCCCACCCCTGAATAACACTCTCTCACACACACTGTATATACCCATGATGGTGAACCTATGGCATGCATACTGGAAGAGGCACTCAGAGCCACTTCTGCCGGCACGCGAGAGGTCACCCGAAGGAGCCCCACTGCGCATGCATGCTCCCTCACCAGTCAGCTGATTGTCGGCTATCTGCCATGCATGCGCAGAGGCATGCACCATGCGGGAGGGGTGTTGCATGCACATGCATGGAGGCATGTGATGCAGGAGGGATCATGCGTGCATGTGCAGAGGTGTATAGTGCACCTGCAGGGGGTCGCATGCACAAGCACAGGGGGGCGGAGAGAGTCACACATGTATTGCATCATGGATGCAGGCATGCACGTGCACTTTTGGAACACAATTTGGAAAAGATTAGCCATCACTGGTATATACAATATTTGTAGAGATAGATAGATAGATAGATAGATAGATAGATAGATAGATAGATAGATGATAGATAGATAGATAGATGGGTGGATGGATATATAGATATGTGGATAGAAAGACAGACATAATGTATTTGTGTAAGCAAAGATCCACAAGTCTTTTCCAAAACCATAATAGGAATTCCTTGCCATATCTAGAATAGGTTCTTACCAAAAGGCTGTCCCCATGATTCCAGATCAGGGTGATTCCTGATTTCCCTTGGATCTTAAGATAATCTGAGATTCTCTCCATCAGAATTCCTAAGTGGCTGTAAGGCAACTGAACCCTAGAAATAAAGCACATTGCAACTGAAAGTGAGAGAAATTCCCTTACAGGAAACTTCTCATTTACAAATGTTAAAGTGGAATACGAATGATATATGAAATGACACTCTTCCTCCTTGCCCTGATGTGACTGGAATGTGTGGCGTTCAAATAACAAAAATATATTTGTTTAAATAATGAAACTTACGGCTCTCCATTCACAATAATGGAATTTGTGGTCAGTTCAACAGCTACTCCATCAAGTTTTAAAACCACATGGCTTATAACGGTAACATTCTTAATCACCAAGTGTCTTATTTGCACATTGAAGTCTTCATAAGAGGATTTGCAGTGGGATGCAAAGACATAATTGCAGAGTCCAGGAAACTGATAGATATCTCCATCAAAGGTCTTGAAGTGGAAATTGCCCCAAGTGCTACACACTCTGTGATTATGAGCTGAGTTTCCAGCTGTGGATTCAAAATAATATGTAAAACTTTTTGTTCAAAACTACCTTCTTTAGCCACCTCAGTCAACCCATCCCCTCATCCACCCATTTATTTTCTCATCCATTCCTCTAAGAGGTTTGTTCCACTCTTTCAATCATGACCAATTACTTGAGACTGCCTAGACAAATCGCTGCATTTTTCTTGGAAAGGGTTTTTTGGAAGTGGTTTGCTATTGCCTTCTTCCTAGGGCTGACAAAAAGTGACTGGCTCAAAGGTTTGTTCCTAAGGTGAGACTAGAACTCATAGCCTTCTGGTTTCTAGCCTGAATCCTTAACCATGACACCAAATGGCTGTCTTTTGTAGAGTACATTGCCTCAATCATTCACATGAAGTATGGCAACATTTCAGTGTGATTATTCGTTGCTATTTGCCATTGAGTTTCCTTCCTTTCCACCCTTCTTTTTGATTGCTCTATTCTTCATAAAGTCTTCTATTTTCACTCTGAGCTCACATCACTTATGTGACTAGAACCAAACTCAACAATTCATATAAGAGCAAGCAATCTAAAACTATTTTTACAATATAAAAATATTATCTTTGACCAACTTACACTTGATAACCATTGTTGTTCTCAATGCAGGGATCATGCTCACAGGACTTGAGGGCGCTAATGTGGTAAAATCTGAAAGAAAAGAATTCTATTATAGACCAAACATATTTGCAATGCCACAAAGTATTTCTAAACCTCAGTAATGATTACATTGTCTAGTGATATTTCTCTCTCTAAATTCAGCATACAATTATTTTATTTCTTTCTGTTATGATCTCTCTCTCTCTCTCTCTCTCTCTCTCTC